AATCAAAATAATGAGTTATGTCAATCTTTAAGATCATTTTAACTCAAAAGCATGTATATATAAATACGTGATTAGGTCACTAGATGACGATCAAGCTCTCAAATAGTTAATGCCAAGTGAAGTGTTCATAAAAGCTGTCCAACTTTCTTCAGATGTTTGATAGATTTGAAAGCTGCCCGACAATTCCCGGGGTCAATTAATTAGAACCAATATTTTGTGTTTTAAGGAAATGTCAATGAAGAGAAATATTAGGACGGACGATGGAGTATTGACGTTAGTTGGAGAAGAAATTACTTTTTGGGTATAGTTATCTGTACATTCATTTTTATTTTTCAATTTTTGTCCATCAGGTTAAATAAATTGAAGAAGATCAATAGTTAAAATGTAACAAGAGTGTGAGAGATAAAAATGAATATGAATAGTAATGTCCTATTTTTGTTGACTTGGTTGAACAGAAGAATTGATTCAAATGACTAGTTAAACTTTCCTGTCATGTCCAAACTCTCTCAAACACGAGGTGTTCATATACAAACACCCCTTTTCTTCCTTACTGTCAACCCCTCTTCTATGTCCAATCCGGCCGTCTTCTCTCCTACGGCCACAACCGTAATTCCTTTTCTTTTCCGGCGACCACCTCCAATCCCTCGCTTCTCCAACAACCACCTCTGATTCTAATTTCTCCAGCATCTGCGACTCTACAATTAACTTAACATGAGAAGTGGCAAAAATACGGAAAGAGATTCTCTCCGAATCTCTTCCACCAAAGCCTACCAATCAATTAATCCGGACCCTTGAAACTTGATTTAACAGCTACAAACAGGAGACACCTTTAAAAATTATAATAATTTTAGTTGTTGGATCAAATTTCAAGTGTCCAGATTAATTGATTGGGGAGCTTTGGCGGGAGAGATCCGGAGAGGATCTCTTTCCGCAAAAATACAACCCTGTCCAACGGTTAACTCAAAACACTTTACGCTCTGATAACGACGTTACAAACATAGTGGGTCAGTTGCGAGAAGAACAGGAGACTGACTCCTCGAAAATCTATTGAGCTATCAAATTCAAATGATTCAATGCCATCTTAGATACCAAACGTGGCGCCAACGCACCTACATTCGAATCTTGCTTCTAGGTTTCTATCACAATGAAGAAATACACAGATCAGAATTTGGGCGTGAAATTTATACAACTTTTACAGGAAGCCCCGACTGTTAAATCTTAACCACCATCCAAAGCAGCATGAACAGAGCAAAAACTGTAATCTCAATGAGAACCCCATTATTCACATTTCTTCGGGCATCTTCAGTATAAGTTCTGGGCATATTTTCAGGGCTACCAAAGTATTCGGATCACCTAAACTTAACGGAAAGAATTCTCCAACTGCAAACATGCAGATATAGGAACATCTTTGGAAAAAACGAAAAAAATGGAACTGTAGTTGCATGGTGATTACCGACTATACTAAAGAAAGCCTTCAACCCCACGTCCTGCTCCTGCATCCCTGTATATAGCGAGTGCTTCTTCCATGATCTTAGCTTGAGCCAGCAATTCAGCTCTCTTTTTCCCGGATGGATGGGTTGAAAGATAATCTCTGAGTGCAGATTCACCACCAGTAACCTTGCTCAACTTCTCGTACACAGTTGGAGCCACTCTGGGATCATATCCAGCAGAAGCAACCAACAGAAGCCCAATGTGATCCGCTTCAATTTCCATCCTGATTAAGTGAGAGAGCATAAGCACACAAACATGGAAAATGAAAGGATTGTGTTCAGCATTTTGTGTGAAAGGATTGTTTTCAGCATTTTGTCAAGCTCTCAGCTGGTTCACAAGCACTATGATGTAATAATCATTAGAAAATAAAACGTAAAACAAAAAACTTCACATCCAAGCTTTAATCCAAAGAATTCTCAATAGATTCGCTAAAACTGATATATTGAGTAATCTAACAAGACCAATCCAACGGTATCACATAGCATTTAACGGATCTTTCAGTAAGGTAGCAATGGAGGTCACTATTATCTTTTCCAAGGAAGCATCAGTGATCAAAAGCACTAACAGGAAACTTTAAATCATAAAACCTTTTATCTTTTCAGTGAACTGGGGGAGTGGGGGGGGGGGGGGTGTGAAACAGCCCCCAACAAACAAAACATCATAGAAGCTTCTTTTCACATTAAGATAAACAGTTAAAATATTTCCCAAGGCTCTAAAACATTTCAGGGAGATTCCGCAAGTTTAAACATCTTAAAGGGCCAGACCAAATATTTCACTGAACAAACATGACCTATTCCAGCGGAAGAGCCAGGTTTTAGTTGGGGCCATCCTCAAATTACATGCGTATTACAAAGCCTCAAGCTTGTATTACATGTATTTCAGAAATATAAAATTTAATGCTTGTCCTGGTAAAACAACAAATTTGTTCTAACAAACATAAATTGCAAAAAAAATTGCATTTTACTAGAAAGAGAATTTTGATATAGGACGGCTTGACTAGTTCACATAATACCTTGGAGTAGAGAAATTATGAATTAGCAACAATAGAAACTTGTAGAAGGATAATCATACAGGCAATACACAAAAGCAGAAAAACAATTGCCCGTCAAAAACTTGAAAGGGGAAACATGCCCCCCTGGGCGACAGTAGCTCTTCCGCTAACCCATACCATTTGATCAACTTCCTAGTACAGTAATTAAAAACCTTTGCTGAGAAATAAATAACAAGACCCTATTCCTTATTTGCAACCAGAACACGCATGCATCCTCCTTAAGCATCAGAAAAGAGAGCAGTAACAAGAAATGTTCAGAAAAATCATAACGTTATGACTAAAGAACTGTAAAGTACCTTCGGGAGAAAGGAAGCCTCAAGAAAAGATTGGACATTGTGTTGACAACATCAGGCGTAACAAATTGATAAAGCACCAGTTGCAGAATTGCAAACCACAGGTTCTTTGTAATAGTCTCTGCAGAATGTCGAGCCACAGCATGGCCAACCTAGTTTTTATGTGCAATGAGAAAAATATCAACTTTTTAATCTTATTTTCACACAATGCCAAGCAATGAAATCTTCCTACCTCATGACCAATGATCGTCGCTATCTCGGCATCACTTGTAAAATGCTTGAGCAACCCCGTGAAGACGACAATCTTCCCACCCGGCAAGCAAAATGCATTGACAATGGGCTTATCCACCACCAAAACCTCCCAATTCAAATGATCCAAATGCGAAGTGGCAGCTTTCAAACCTCTCTCCCTACTTGTCTTCCTACTCTTCTCAATCCATCGATCATCAAGAATCTCATCCTCACGGGACCACTTACCCTCCTCCGGAGGATCCTGCAGTGCCATCAAAGTGTCCTTGCCACCACTCTCATGTGCCAGCTCCACTTTACCGGACGCATAGTCCACGTCAGTCCAGGTCACGTCATGGCTCAACCCTCTCTGCAAAGCCTCTATTATATCCTTGGCAATCAACCGAACCCGCACGCTATCCGGATGTATGGCGGGCAAAATGTCCCCCTTGAAACTCTCTTTCATTTGCTGGAATTGGCTCTCCCCCAACCTCTTCTCCAAGGCTTTCGACAAAATTATAAAATGGGTTCGCTTCGTGTACGGAATCGTCTCCAAATTCCCAAAATACACGGTGATAAAAACCCCAGAACCCACCAGACCCACAATCAAAACGTTCCTGGGACTCTCAAACCACCTCCGCGGGCCTCTCGGCTTGAAGTGGTGAACCCGCTTCCGGTCGACATAGTAATATCTCCTAGTGCAATCAAGAAAGGGGCTTCTGTACTGTGTTGTTCTTGTGATTCTACCAAGCTGCGGAATTGATTTGTGTAAAATTGAAGAATTGGAAGAAAACCCAGAAAACTTAGCTGAGTTGGAGACGGAAGCGGAAGACCCAGTTGAGAAAACGCGAGAGATGGGCTCTCTGGCGGCGGCTTTGGGGGCAATCCTCGCCGTGAAGCCGCGGAAGGCGTCGAGTGCGAGCTTTGCTCTCCTGTACGATCCCATGACGAATTGGGTGTCTCGAAGAAACTAGAAAGATGAATGATTTTTCAGAAAGTTTAGAAATTGGGTTTTTGGAGTGGTGGGTTTTGTGGGTTTAAGTTGTTTGGTCAAAATTCTTCTGTTGCTCTCTGTCACTTTTAAAATGTGTTTGAACTTTGAAGCCTTTAAAAGACGTCTCGTCTCTGAGTTATTTGAGCTCATTCACGATTTAGGAGCGTATTCAATTGAGATTTTAAGGGTTTTTAATTCTTTTAATAAATTTAGGGTATTTTATCAGGATTTCAAGTGATTCTTTGAAATTTTAGATGTATTCAATTAAAATTTTAAGATAGTATATTAAAATCCTTAGAAATCTGGGTGTATTCAATTAAGATTTTAAAAAAGTTTATAACATTCCAGGTGTATTCAATTAGAAATCGATTTTAAAGAATTTGAGAAAGTTGAGGAATTAGAGGGAATTTGAGAGATTTCGTAGTGTATTTTAAGCATCCATAAATCTCATATCTTCCCATAAGATTTCAAGGGAATTGAATTAAAATTTTATATGGAATCTTTACAAATCAATTAAACTCCATAAAAATCCATGGATTTATAAATCCATTAAAATCTCTCACATTCTTAATTGAATACACCCCTTAATGTTTTAGTGTAAAAAATATCTTTTATTCAAAAAAAAAAAAACTTATAAATTTGTTTGAAAATATTGTTAAAATCAAGGTCAAAACGCTTTTAGTAAAACTAACTTTGGGTTTTGAGAGCATTTTAAGTGCTTAGTTGAAATCCAAATAAATTTTTACTGAGATTTGATTTTAAAAATATTTTCGCTAAAAGTGCTAAAAGTACTTCTAAACGAGTTAATTGTTATGCAAAGGACTTCAAATATGTTCCTTCCGTATGTGAAGTGATTATCACAAACGGATCGAATCTTGGTTCAACTTAGTTTGCTACTCTCAACTCATAAATAAAAGAACAGTTACTAGTTACTACTGAAGACTAAAAGTAAGTTACCACAAATAACATTAGAAGTTAAAAAAAACACTTGTTTTACTTTCTAGTAAATAGAAAAGTTACAAGTTAGAAAGTTCTTACGCAACACGAACTTGGGAAGCAGATGGGAAAAAGGAAGATCCCATCCACTCCTAAGGGCAAAAGAAAACAGAAGGGCAAAACTTATAGGCCTAAAAAACAAGAACAAAATTGAACGATAAAATAGAGAAAAGAGTTGACGGAATATGCTATACGCAGAAAAAATGATCCTATAACGAGCCAATCAAGGCCGTCGATCTACCGAATATTTTCTTCATTGTCAAAAATATACTCCTGCCTCCGCTCAGATCAACTGGCTTTTAGTCCCTCCACCCCTTGAAACCATTGTGAATGCAACCATTTGATATTGTTAGTTGCTCGCAACAGCTTACTTGAAAGGAGCCGGTTTACGTGCGCTTCACCATCTGTTGCCGCGACCTCTCCCACCACCACCGGATCGGTTGTTGGAAGACCTATCATTTCGAAAACCTCCACCTCCACCACTACGGCCAAACCTTCCACCACCGCCAAATCTTGAATTCCTTGATTCTTTTTCTTGTAAATCAGGCAGTGATTTCAACACCTCTATGCTCACATTAGCTGCATTTTCCTGACCTGCACCCAACATACAAGTTAACACAACTACAAGAATCGGCTAAGAACTGAAAAATATCAATTTCTGCTTGAATCTTTAATATACTATCATGCTTGATGAGAATGTAATACGTGATCATATCGAAATATGATAAGAATAATACCAGCAAGAAACAAATCCAAATCTTCAGCTGCTACATCAAACACTGCACCATTTCCATCAGCTGTTAGCGCCATACCCTTCACTGACTCAACCTTCTCCTCTGGCAAGAATCTCCTCAAGACCCCAAAAGCAAAACTGAGAAAAGGTTGGTAGAAATTAAGAGTCAAACACGATCAAATCGAAACGCTAACTCTAAGACAAGAACACAAAGTAAACCTATAAAAGATATAATTATGGATATATATCTAAACAGCTGATGGTATCTTGGGATGACAAAAGCACATTGTGACAACTTTAAGACAATCGATATAGTTCCCATCATTAGCTAGTGTTTGTATCCATATGTGGAAATAAAACAAAAGAACATAAGACATAATGGTTTCGAACACAAGGCAACTAGTGATAATTGCTTACGACGGTGAATAAATGGGCTTTCCAGCCTCGAGAAGTATTGTGACATGGTTTTCCATAGAGCTAAGAAGTGACCTCTTCTTTATCTCGGTGTAGCCCTGCACACCATACCATAAACAACTCATAAACTGATAAACAAACATTTACGTGAAGCACATCAAGTAGGGAAGAAATAGCAAATCTTACAGCAGCTTTAGCAAGTGCTTTTGCCAGTAGATCTACTGCAGATAGGCCAGAGGTGTTAAGTAGCTCCTCGGCAACAGATTTGAAAGCAGGAATTACACTGTAATGAAAAACGTATTAATATTTGAACTTTTTTATTGGGTAAACGTGTTAATATTTGAACATGATTGCATCAAAATCTAACCAGCATTACACTGTACCTGTCAGAGATTTTGGTTATCATTTCTGCTGCATCTTGACCAACTGCTTTGGCAATATCAAGTGGCTGAGGAGCAGATATGTGTTCAAATTTCACTCCCGACTCTCTCTCGATTTTTGAAAAATTTGACCTTCTGGGATCATAAAGCATGACTGCAACTCCAGAATTGCCTGAAAATATGGACACATCTCTTAGTACTACCACAAAACACTAAAGACATTTAAGTAATAAAATACAAATGAACAAAAAATGCCACATTTTTTCAAGATTTACCTGCTCTCCCTGTGCGTCCAGATCGATGAATATAGTCTTCTACATCACGTGGGGGTTCACACTGAACCATAAAAAATAAAAGTAAGTATACACATTGACAAACATTAGAAAGCTCCCCAATATGCACACTGACAAACCTGAATAATTAATTGAACATCATTGATATCCAGTCCACGCGCTGCCACATTCGTGGCTACTAATGTCATAAACTTGCCAGACCTGAAACCGGCAAGTGTGACCTGAAAATACATAACCACAAAAAAGGAAAAATAAGTTCTGCCATCTGGGAAAAAAATCTAGCTTTTTTAAAAATGAAATATCAATATGAAAGGAAAGGAGCAAGAAATAACATAGTTCAGTATTATTGTACAAAACAGAAAACAATGCATAATCAAACAACTCACCTCACGTTGGCCCTGCTGTATGTCCCCATGCAAAGCTCGGGCTCCAGGCAGCGCCTCAGCAAGTCCAGAAGCAGCTTCCTTTGTCTCGGTGAAAATGATTGTGCGGCCTCCACTGAACCGGAAACAAACATATCAAGTACATGAAAAATGATTTCCAAACAAACTACACCCAAAAATAAAATTAGAAAGCATACAGTACTTGTTGACTAGAAAACGACCAACCTGCTGTAACAACGTATGATATCAGGAATAAGTTCTGATCTTGCTGAACTGGAGCAAGGAAGAACAATATGCCTAACATTGGTGCTGGCCTTCATTTTTTCATTACCAACAAGATCTACAGTTTTCTTATCTGGTTTGAGAAACCTAGAAGAAATCTGGGAAAAAGAAAAAGAAAATTTCATTATATGTGTCAACAACGGAAGGAAAGATCTAACATTGCAACATTATCCATCTATGTTTAACTGAATTCAGAAGAACATCCAAATTCAAAATCTCAGTTAAGATACTTACGCCTTTCACCCAACTTGGCAAGGTTGCACTGAAGAGAAGCGTTTGAACTTTACTTACATCCTTCACCTTGCCTGAAAACCCAAAGAAGAGACAATCATTGCCATATAAAGTTCTTACCGCCAAAAGAAAAAAGAAACAGCACGCACAACATAACACTTCAAACATGTAACCAGTAACACAAATATGCAAACACGGTACAAAAACAGATGTTGGCATTACCAGAAAGACATACCTAGAATGAGTTCAACATCATCAACAAAGCCCATCCTCAGCATTTCATCAGCTTCATCAAGGATCCTAACCTTCAAGGTACTCAAGTCGATATTGCCCCTCTCTATATGATCCTACATATTTCCAAAAAAATCAATTTAGCATCATACGTATATTGCATAGGAGGACAGAAATGACACAAGAACTCAGCTATCATGGGCAATAGTCAATACCTTTATGCGGCCAGGTGTTCCAATAACAACATCCACCCCTCTCCTTAGCTTACTTTCTTGAGCCCCGTAGGGAGATCCACCATATACACAACACGCTGCTAGCCCCACAGCACCACCATAAGCTTCAAAATCGGCGAAAACCTGATTGAACCAAAAATTGTCAAAGTGGATACTCTAAAATCCAAACCATTGCAAGCATAAGGTCCAGGGTAAATAAAAATTACCTGTTTGGCAAGTTCCCTGGTGGGTAAAAGCACGATAACAGTTGGAGGTCTACCATAACCAGTCTTTCTAAATTCTCTTGCAGGCCCATTTGTCAAAGACTCCAAAACGGGCAACACGAAAGCTAGAGTTTTACCCTGAAATATTGCAAAAACAATAAGCATACGATTCCAAAACTGAACAAAATCACATTAATAAGCTGAATATTCCAATTCAAATCAACAAGCCACAAAACAGTGAGTAAAAATTTGTGCTTGATGGTAAAAATTTGTGATTTATGAGTAAAAAATTGTGCTTCTTGAGTAAATTAAATTTACCTGCCCTGTTCGAGCCCGGCCGACCAAATCCAAACCATCCAAAATGGTATCGAATGTCATGGCCTGAATAGGGAACAAGGATTCGATCCCATTCTCCTTCAATTTGGCCCTCAAGGGCACCGAAATCCGAAACTTAGACACCGCGTTAGGATCCTCTTTAACCATCTCCTCGGTCTTCTCCTCGTCCTCCTCCTCCGGCTCCACCTTCGCCTTCTTTGACTTCTTCTTGCTCTTCTCCTCGCTCTTCGGAGGCTTCACATTCACGGGCTCGCCCATCTCGGAGCTGGTCTCGCTCCTGTCCTCGTCATCCGAAGCCTTCCGCTTTTTGTGCTTAGACTCCTTCTTCGACTTCTTCTCAGTAGCTGGCGAGTCGGCCGCGGCGTCTAGGGTTTCGCTTATCAATTTCTTCATCTTCTTCTCCTTCTTGTCCTTCGGAGTGGTTCCCGCGAGTAGATAATCGGAGACTTCTATCGAAGGCATGGTTTTCTAGAGAGAGAAACGCGTCAGTGTCAGCGAGTTTAGAGAGAGAAAGAGACGGTGGGCGCGGCCGAGAGAAAGAGAGGGGTTCCTGGTTTTCTCCTGCTACAGAAAGTTATGGCAGTGAGCCGCGTTTAGCAGGAGAAACTAGGAAGAGAGGGGAAACAGAATTAGGGTTTTGCGCCTTTTATGGTTTAGCGGTGGATGCTTCTTGGGCCGTTGGATTGAGTGCCGCGACGAAGTTTGTTTTTGAGCCGTTGAAAAGAAATATCTACTGGACCTGGTCAACGACTCCACACCCGCAAATAAAACGTGGCACCCGACACTTTTTGGCTTTTAGAAAACAGAGAACGACGTCGTCGATGGCCGATATGTGCTATTTCCTTTTTAATTTTCTTATTCACTAATATTGTTTTTTTTTTTAATATCAAGCAACAGATTTATACGTTAGATTAGTCACTAATAGTATTTGAATTCACGCTGTCATATAAGGGCTCAATACATTTTTACTACTGTGGTAGGACCATCTTCAACCCTTGGGGACAAAAAATTTTAAGACATAACCCATAAGTTGTTTTTTTTTCCTCCAACCCTTATAGCTTAAAATTTTAGCTCGAGCTTATTAAATAATGATTTTAGCCTAATTTTTTTTTTCGTTAACTTTTTTGAAAATAAAATTTATGTAGATTATCCTAATTTATTTTTATCAATATTTTAATTTAAAAATATTTAAATTCTGATAAGTACTTAAAAATTATACAAATACATAGATATTTATAAAGTTTTAACTCAAATTTGATTTAAATAATTTTCTTAAATTATTTTAAACGTTAGACTTAATTTTGGGCTGTCAAATTTTTTTCTACTATTAGATTTGATCTCATTTGATCATAGTCGTTAGATTATGAGTAAAAAACAAAAAAAATATTTGAAATATGATAGTTTGGTGGGTCCATAACGATTTAAGCTAGGCTTAAATTCTGTGAGGAATCTAGCCCAAAGATATATTTTCTCCCGAGACGTATTTTAGCTCAATGGTTGGATATGATTTTACAGCTTATACTTTGAACTTTATAGTTGGAAATGGTCTAAAAGGTCACTTGCTTATTCACTAAAATTATTGATTTGTTGGCTTCTTTTGCATCCTGGCCCATAAATTTGGATTTTGGTTCAATTTATTTCTGTTTAAACTCGTTCAAGCTCGTATGTTAATGCAATAGATTTGTAACTATCATAGTTAAAAACATTTAGTCCAGCACTCGAAGTCCTACACTTGATCTCTATATCAAGTGCCACACAAGCAAAGTGTCTCCTAATCGAATTATGCTGGTTTTGGAATAGTTGTCCTATCCTATCTAGTCCCTCTTAGCAAGGCGTACCAAACGAGCTCTAAGGATCCACTTCAATCCTTCGAGAGACAGAAGTCGCCATAGTGAGTCTCACGTGAAATGGCTCTCACTCAACGAATCAGAGATACACCGAGAACAATAAGGGAATTCATATATTGCCCAATCCACAAGTACAAAGTGTACACTTCTTTTTTTCTTCTAAAATACTGACATACAAATAAAACTAAGCAAAATGTAAGAGGCTATAGACATAAGGGCAAATGCAAGATTACAATATAAGAAAAACAAAGAGCGCAGCTATGGCATACATAGGCCATCTGTGAGCAGATTTCCGGGCGGAAGAGGAGGCGGTGTTGCACCAGTTAAAGCCGTACCAAAGATCACTGGGAATGAAGGTGTTGTAGCTAAATGTAACAGCCCTGGAATTGTGACCATAGATTTTCACATTCTCAGGCTTCCAACCATCCAGTCCGGTTCTGTAGACATACAAATAGCAGATTTGGTATGCACAGGGGCCGTAAATCTCAAATGTGTCTGTAGAACACCGTTCAAATGTTCTTGAAGATGGATCATCCAGTCGCGGTGCATAAATCTGAACAAGAAAAATGATCCTGATAATTTGTATATGCAACCAAAATCTAACATGCTAATTCACATTCGTTCGCATTAAGTTGGTTCTGTAAGTTTTAGATGTATATGCAACCAAATCGAAACGCTAATGCACTGGTTTCACATTTAACACATCAAATTCATTCTAATCAGTTTAGATGCGCATGCAACCATATATAAATTCCTAATACATTGGTTTTGCTCAACATACTAAACCCAAACTTCAAAAAGGTGCACTTTGCTAATGGCCAATTTGAGACTGTTATGCGCAAATGTCTTGAAAGGCAGGCAATTGAACGCCTTGCGGCAAGGTGTCACCGAAACGCCCTAGGCACAGCCATCAAAGGCGAAAATTCAGAAAGGCGTACGCCTAGAGTTACGCCTTGCAAAGCCCTAACTGCCTTTGCCTCTGAAAACATTGCTCTGCGCTATTGCTAGAAGTGTTATTATTCCAAACATGCCAAAACTCCTAAATATATACGTACATGTGTTTCTACACAAAGCGCTTCTACGAAGAAAACAGGCCCTAAGACAACAAAATACAATTCCTGTTGAGTAGGATTTTGAAAACACTTTTTTTTTTTTGCTTGTTTCTTGCTCCACTTAATCATAACCGAGCGCAATGGCGTTATCGGATTCATATAACCGCCCCCATTTAGTGGGAAAATGTTTTGTTGTTGTTTCTTGCTCCACTTAACACAAAAAAGATTAAGCTTAATCCCTTCACTGAGGTTAAAACAATAAAAATTGAAACCCAAATTCCTTCCATCTTCTAGAAAAATAGAATTAACAATAATTAGGCTTTCAATTTCGACAAACGGATCGGTCTTAAATTCGAAGATAAACCCAAATTTTCTTTTTCAATTTCAATTTTTCTTCTTAATTCTTTGACAACCCAAGTTCGACGATCAATTTCTAAACACGATCATATTACATGATTAAGATTTCAACACTGTTTTCTGATAAATTAACATGAAAAACTGAGTAGGTAGAAGAACAAACCTGGTTGCCATAAGCATCCCCAAAGGAGAGACTGATCTGATCCCTCGTGTACCTCGTCGAGGAGCAGCTCGTGGTTATCACCGCCGTGTACGAACAACTCCCCGCATTCTTTAGCACCAAAACAATCAAAATTATCAACCAAAAAAATCACAAAAAATCAAATTAAATCAAAGAAAATTTAAGCTTTGCAAATTGCTGTACCTGGACGTTGCTGACGTTGAAGCCCTTGGCGGCAGCTTCGGGATGTATGATGCTTAGCTTGGCCTCCGAGAGCGTGAAGACGATGGAAGCTTGGAGGAGAAGAAGAAAAGAGAACGCTCTGAACATGTTTGATGATTTGCTGCAGATAGAATGTGACGGCGACGGCGACGACTTGCGGGATGCGGAGGAGTCAAAGAAAAGCATGCGTCAGGGAGTGGAAGATGATATTTTTGTGGACACCGAGTGTTACGGCGGTTTATACTTAATACAGTAAATCATTTATGTCCGTCAAGACAAGTAAGGGCAAATCCGTCTTTAGAAAATATTTGCTATATTTTTTGAGTTTTTATAAATCGGAAAATCCTTTTTGTTCTAGAGACAAAAATACACCGACAAATACGTGGATATAATTGTAAGGTGTGGCGGGTGGAATACAAATTCTTTTAACAAAGGGATTTGGGGTGGTTTTGTCGTGGCAGTTCAAATTTATAGGATTCAGACTTGCTAAAGTATTTTAGTCATTCTTTACCTATTATCATGTGATTTGCATCTAAAATAAAATCAAAACATGTTGTGTAAGATACGTGTTTGGAGTTCATCTTCAATCACATAGGCGACTTGTGATGGTTGGTGGATTACAAAAGTTAGGCACCAACAATTAGTGCTGGACATAAACACTCTTTTAACCAATTGCACCAACAATTAACAGTACGTCGTTTATCAACACATACAAAATTAAAAAAGAGTGACGCCTTGATTCCTCTCCCTTTTTTCTCTCATATTATCGACCGCTCCATTTCATGACTTCCCGATTTCCACCATCCAAGTAAACGGGAAAGAAGAAAGTTCGAGGCAACTTCGATCTATTTGTTGTTTGGTGTACAAACAACTCTCCTTTCCCTTTCTACAAGTTCCATGTGAGTCGACTCACAACAATATTAAAACAATTGAGTTTTAACGAAACACTCTTAGTATGTTTATTTTTAAAGAAAAGTTACATTTTTACATTTTCCTGATATTATTTACTACACATTTATTTGTCTTTTTTCATTAAAACTAAAGTTTTTTTGAACATTTGTTAGTTTTCCTTAAAAACAACTATGTTGTTGCATGTGAAGTGCAAATGGGCCAAGAAACTAACCCAACCAAGCTATCAGCCCAAATATTGTTTGGGCCAGTTATCAGCCCAGTTGTTTTCCAATATCATAAATATTGGTCCACGCGTCCATGTCATACTGAAAGAGTTTGAGTCCACTATGTGATTAAAAGCATTTCCGATCGATGCAAATTGTTTGTCTCCTGTTTGGGTGTCAATCTCATCCATTCTTATTTTGTGTGGTCACGGTTAACTCACATTAACATTTTATATTAATTTTTTTATAGAGATAATAAGATAAAAGGCAATAAGACTATAAAATGTTAACGTGGCTTAACCATAACCGCACAAATAGGAAGGGATGGGAAGTGCACCTAAATAGAAGGGCAGACAATCTACCTCCACAAAAAATGAACAAAAGGTTTGGGTAGGCACAATGTAGAAGAGAACCAGTCTATACAACTTCGACACGCATTGACTCCCATTATTTGTGAATCGTGAGAGTGCCTACTTTACGAATATCTAGTTGTGATGGTATGTCAAATTATCATGTATTGACGTACGTTTAGATGCTTATATTCATTTAAATAAATTAGGTTCAGGGTTTTCTTAGCTTCTTCTCGTCAATGGACTCTTGACGTAAATGAAAGAGTGTGATTAGTTCGATAAATTCCTACCTTTCTATCTCTAAGATGTTTGGATTTTTCAAAACTTCATGGATATGCAAAAGAAAAATACTATCCACACTCAGACCAAAGCATAACTTTTACTTGTTTTTTCACACGACAATGCACAATTATCTCCTTTAAATGGGATTATTCTCCTTGAAAGACTTCAAGTGGATATTGGGTTGCTTTATCAACATAAAGGCATCACCACCAAACTCTTTCCTACCAATAATGTGAGAATTGTTAATGTGCCGATAACACAATCATGTATACCAATTGTCATAATATAAATGGTTGGAAGTTTTTTTAGCATCCAACACTTATATGATGACACTTTGTGTACATGGTCATGTGGCCCGACATTGAAAAATCTCTACAATAATGCACCTTACTTGTCAATGTAGAATGTGAAACTATTAAGCACCATTCATATGCTCATTTAGCAATTCATTATCTTCTATAGTGGTACATGAACCATTTTTTTGGATACATATAAAACCTACTTGACCACTTTATGTCCCATTCTTTGTTTGTTGGTCCACACTTATATACTTTATCACACACTTTGCATCATCTCCAAAGTTTAAAGTGCCCACCTAATTCAATTTATGGAAAATGACATTTGCAACTTGAAAATTTAAAGGAAGATGTAAAATACACAAATCTCCCCAACTCGCACTTTTGTATTGCAAAAAATTAATTTATACTCCCTCAGTCACATCAAAAATTAAAATAACAACTAGGTAAGTAAAATCTACGTCAACAAATCAAAATACATACGCGAGCATTACTAAACACTATTTCAAAATAGTTATTAGACCTTTTTAAGTAAACATGGCATTTTGGACCCGACCTGTTAACCTGACCCTAACCCGACCTGTTAATATTAGTATTTGGGTGGATACTTAACGGGTCGGGTCACTAACGGATGAACCTGTTAAATAACGAGTCATTTTGGGTCAACCTGTTAGATCTGTTAGCACCCGTTAGTTGAGGATGTTTTAGTAATTTCAGTAAAGTCTTAACAATAAAAAATAAAATCTATGCAAAAAAAAAATAATAATAATTGTTAACAGGTGAAACGGGTGATCCGTTAGTTTAACATGTCGGGTTCGAGTGCCTCATTAAACTACTGGGTCGGGTTCGGATAACCAGTTAATTTAATGGATCAGATTCATTCCAACCCAAACCCAATAAACCCGACTTGGTTACAGATCTACTTTTAAGTGCAATGCATGATAAAATTTTAAATGGATAATCAACTTGCTATATGTGAGGCGGTTTTTCGCTTGACAGTGTCAAACATATATCTCATCTCCTTACTAGCACATTACGAATTGAATCACACCCTGCCTCTTCAAACACCAAAACTCGAAACAATTTCACGATATATTGATACCTGTACGTCCATCACACATGCTAAATGTAGCACAAGAATTGAACAAAAAAACAAAAAAGAAACTCCCATCATGATAATTTATTCTTCTCCTTCCTTGTCATCCACTTCCAACAAAAAATAATGGAGCACTTATGACTTCACCATGCCACACCACCAAACCATTGCTACTAATTAAATTGAATTAGAGCTTAGCCAAGAAGGGTTGAATCAGTTGATAAAGTCCATGCTTTGTGTGTCACTCCGTCAAAATTCGAGCGTCTTCGTTGATACGCAATATGTAAATTTTAGCGTAAATCCATACCCGTGACAACTGGTTGTATTTGTATCTAGTAATTAAAAATATCACTAAAATAACTATGGTACAATGTAGCAAAAATTTTGATACCCAAACTGTAATAACTAAAATAATTAATTGACTGCTTCCCCGTTCCCAACTTCCCATGGCCCTTATCCCACAACTCTGGGAATTTGTTTATCCCCCCAATTTATCTGACAGAGATAAATAAAATTAACAAAAAGTGAAAAAAAAATTAAATAAATAATTTACTCGCCACTCTACCCCGGCCAGTTTCTTCTATTTCAACCTGAACCCCAACTCTCCCTGCTGCTTGAACCTCCTGAAGACCCCTTCAAGGGCAATGTCAAAAGCGTCTTTTACCGTCTCCAACCCCTCCTGCGGTTCCGCATACAGAAACTTCGGTATATAATCGATCACTTTCTCTCTCATTTTTTTCACCTCCTCTCTGCTAAATCCTTGTAGAACGTTTTTTATCGAGGCCGTACCGTTTATAACCGCGTTACGGTCTATAAAAACGGAGTAACTATCCGGTTCGCCTGGTAAAAACCACTCGTACTGTATGTACGCGGTCCGCCTCCAGAAAAAAACCGGGATCGAACCGGCCACCATGCAGTCGAAGATGGACCGGCGGGTGAAGCTGTCGCCCCGCGGCTGCAAACAGAAATCCGAGTCGAGAAAGGTCTCGAGATCGCGGGGGCGTTGAGCACTTGGTCGCGCGTCAGTCGGAGCGCCGATTCCTTTGAGTGACTCAGCGCAGCCCTGAAGTATTCTTATCCGCGCGCTCCCTCCGGCGAAGGAGAAGAGCTTCGAGCGGCTGCGGTTTCGGACGAGTTGCAATCGCAAGTCGGTCGACCTCGGGTGGAATCCGGTGGGGTAAGGAATACCGACGTCGAAATAGTCCCACGGGTTTCGCTCAATCAGGAGGCGCGTGATGTTTCGCATCCCCGGGAGGTAAATGCAGCTAGAGCCCCAATCGTCGTTTTTGGACCGTCGAAAGTCCAACGTAATCCGGCCCATCGTGATAAAGTGATCCCAGCCATCTGATTTTTTATATGACGGCTGGTCCTGGACCCACCGCAGCATCATCTCGCAGTGGCGGTCGCGGTCCTGCGCGTATGGAGTGACCACAGTACTTGCCCAGTGTCAGTAAAAGGATGTAGAGCGTAGAGATTCGGTCCATACCGACACTTATGATTGAGGATCCGATTGTGAAAAATCACCTACGAAGCGAACTGGTCCGTCCAGTACCACGCCGGCACAAGATTATCCGGCAATCTCGATACTCGCTTTCTGCCGGCGTCGTTCGCTAAGCTTGAGGGAGCTCCGGATTGAGGTCGTCGCAGTTCTGTAAAATCTCTTGGTTGAGGGTTTTGGGGAGGTCGTAGACAAAGACCCGACCCGACCCGCATTCATCTTCCGGTTCGGGTACAGTTAATGGTAACCGGACAGGTTGAGGGGAGTAGGTAGGCGATAAATGTTGGCGGGCGAAGGGGAGGGAGCGGAGAGTGAAGAGGAGTAGGACCTGGAGGGCAAGTATAGCGAAGAGCAGGCATGTCCGCGGCTGGTGGATGAGTTGGAGGATCGAGTTGAACGAGTTTACCTTGTCGAGGCTTTGGGGCCGCTTGGGTTGGGGCTCCGGAAACTTGTTGTACGATACCGAAAACATGTGGTGGAGCTGGTAGGATTCTCCGGCGAGCTTAACCGGAAAAAGTGGTGTTTTGTGGTGGATGTTGGGAGAGAGAAAGAAAAGTGGAGCTCTTTTGTTTGTTTCGAGTGGGAGGAAGTGCGGAGCCGAGAAGATTGAAGAAGGGAGATCGAGGAAGGGGACACGTGTGCGGTGTGACGACTGGCTGCTACTGGAACCGACACAGTGTGAACCGGCACGTGGCAGCTCGTAATTTGGAAGTACTTGTTTTTGAAGACGGTGGAAGACGAGGAAGGTGTGAAATACACGTGAAGGGTTTGACGTAGCTGTGGCACGTGGTGCGTGAGATGCGCGCCGAAGACGGAGATTTTACCGCCTGTTAGATTGTGTAGGATACGCCGTCGTTTTGGAGTACGTTCGGCGTATGCAGAAGCGTAGAATACGGAATACGGAATACGGGGGCGGAAGAAGTATAGCTGGTTCGTTGGCGAGTCGAGATTGAGTGGCGTCGGTGGTGGGCGTGGCAGCTGTAACGATGGAGACTGTGGCCCCTTGGGGGTGGACCGCCGACGAAACAGTCGTCTCTGGTGACTGGTGGTGATTTTCCACATCCAATTATACACGTGGCAGTTTATTGACGGTGGAGATGGTGTAAGCATTTCCCAAGTGGTTCTATTTGAATTTTGCAAATTACTTAAAAACTTAATTAACAAGTTTATTTTCTACAGGTTACATCTTATGGTCTAATTAAATGGTCTTTTTAATATTTGTCTTTAATTAATAATCACAAGTAGTCCAGTGTAAATGCGGTAGCATTTCATAATCAAGTTTGTTGTTTGGTTCAAAATTCAAGGCACGAAATTGACAAAAATACGAATGATTCTCTGGTTGAAAACTTAAAAGGATGTGTGCTATTGTTTTGAGGGCTGCATGGAAAATTTGTTTTCATCTTGGCCATTTTTTTTATTGCTGAGTGTGATTGTTCACCATAAACAAATTCCAACCTTGTTTAAGTTCCAGTGCTAATCAAAATACTAGTTAATTAGTCGTTGGAAAACGTTAATTAAATGGGGTGAGAATCCTAAGATGCTTCTGAGAATATATTTTTTTTATTTCTTGCACTAATGAGAGGGAAATTTTAGAGAGAAGTGATGATATAAATATTTATGTTCTGTCTTTTTAAATGCGGAGAAATATCACGAACTACGGAGTGTGTGATTGAACTTGAATGCGTGGATTAGAGAACATATAATATTGTTTTAGTCAACGACTAAACACAAGACTACTATGTTTATATATGATTGTTGGTTGCTTTCAGATGTAAAATCCGTAAATGTTTAGATTGGATCATTCATCGAAGGTTTTGTCTTAGTTTAACACTAGACCAAATATCGTGGCGTAAATCAAATTTGTACTTTAATTTAAGTTAGAATTTGATTAATAATTAAAAAGTTTTTATAGCCAAAATGATCATTGAGATTGATATAACTTCTCATTTTGGTTCATAAAATTTGAAATCAATAACAGTGGTCCCTGAGTTTGTTTACCATCAGTTCTTTTGTTCCTACCATGAAAAAAATTATGTTAAATAAGGACCTATAAAATGACAAAATACTATCAATTTAATAAACAATTGGCCAAAATGATTTGACAAAAATTGAGAGCATTTTTATCATTTTATCCTTATTTAATAGAGATTTTTTCACGGAATGACCAAAATGATTAATGATGGACAAATACACGATCACTTCTATCGTTTTCAAATCTCATGGACCAAAATGAAGAATTATACAAATCGCATAAGCCATTTTGGCTGAAAAGCCTAGTTAAAAAATTCATATGGTATAAGATGTGCCAATATTTTTATATTGCATAAGATTGGAGCGTTGGACACGGAGACACCATAGTTGCTGAAACCTAAAAATAGGGTTGCATGTGGAACAACTTTCATGTGTTTTCTATAATTGGTGCTTGCTAGTAGTTTTTCAAGATCTAACAAATGGAACAGAAATTAACAACTAATCCATGCGACTTTTTTGAGATTTAATCAATGTTGAAATATAATATTCTAATGACATTGAGATCCTAAGAGAAACTTACATACAACCGGAATGTTAGGGTAGCAGTCACATATATATCCTCCAACATTCCGGTGAGCTTATGGTTGAGCCTCTTACTGCGTGGTTGATTTTCTCACCTCGTCTTTTTTACTTTTCCGCGTAACATAACATGATTAAATTGTCATCATTGTTACGTTACAATTGCGTGTAAGGGACTTAGATCCACTATAGATCTCGGTGTCTGAAACCACCCACAGACTATAAGATCTGAGCCGTTTAGGAGAGAGAGAGAAAAATATATGAGACGTCATTTTTTCAAATTTTGTGAAAGAAACCAGTGGGATAGACTGACAAGGGTTTGTGATCGAAATTGAGAGATCCAAATCTCTTGTTTTGAAAACTCAAAACATAGAAATTCCAAGTCCACTCACTGGTTTTGGAATCGTGGACGGTTCTGATTAAATCAAATTTAAATCCTCGTATTAGAGGGATGATTAGAAATGATTATGGTGTTCTTTTTTCCCTTTCGCTTTTGAACGGAACATGCACAACCCAACAACATCTGTTCCGCTTCTTTAGCATGGTCATTTACTTTAATCATTGCTCTTAATCGTCATTATTATTTAATGCCTCCCTCCACAATGACATATTTTTTAACGTGCAGGAAACACGATCCAGTAATAATATTAACGAACTTTATAGTTCGAATGTATTATTTCAAGTATTTCACCGATTTTCCTTCCGAACTTGTACCCTATAGCTGATTTCGCCCTTCAACTTTTATTGTGACCAATTTTCCCCCAGGATCATATTTTTCAAGCAATTTTCCAACTTTTTAGTGAAAAATGTCACATCTCAAGAAAAGAACAGTACCAAATAACGTTAAAGTAAAGATAGCAAACCAAAATAAAATTTAAGGTTAATCTCAATTTACTACTTTGAAGTTTCTTGATTTTCAACATTTGATACATAAAGTTTTTTTCATCCCAGAGTGTGAGACACTTTCAGACATTCGTTAAGGTTGCTGTTAAATGGTGACGTGACGCCTATATGAATAATAATTAAGCGTCACATGTCAATATAGGCCCAAGTAAATATTAAAAAATTAAAAAAAGAAAAAGAAAAAAATCAATTGGGCTACTCTCTATTGATCCCGCGCCTCACCCAACCCCCCCCCCCCCAAAAAAAAAAACCCTCCCTCCCTCCCTCCCCTCTCCGTCCCTTCCCCAAACACCCCCGCTCCCCCCCCCCAAAAAAAAAAAGAACTTTAACGAAAAGCACCTGGTACTGTTCACTTTAACGAAAAATCACATTTTTACACTAAAAAGTCAATCTTGGTACTATTCACTTTACCCTTTATTTTGTCCTTATCATTAAAACTCAAAATTTTCAAACCCTTTTCATTAGTTTTCCTAAAAAAAAAACCCTCCCTCCCTCCCTCTCCATTCCAAAATTCCACCATAACTTTTTTTTTTTGTCGAACCATCATAACTCATTTCACCAAATCACCAAATGAGCAGAAAAGATACAAGAAAATCTTCAAAGAAACTTATAACCTTAGGAAAAGATCTTGACCTATACATTGGATCAAATATGTGGGATGCACGAACACCAGAAGGAATTCTCTGGCAAGTGGGTTTTGGACGAAATGTGGCTAAACATGGGTTTAGGGGGGTTGGGCAAAATAAGAGTCTTCCACAGTAATTTGAGCGAGTGCGACACCTATATATAAGAATGTCAGCCTATCTTTGATCCCTACAACACTACTGCTACACTAGTGTTAGTTCAATTTATCGTTATCACACTCATGAGTTCAATATATTTTGTACAACACTTTACAACCCACGTAGTGTGATTCCTATATGAGTTCAGTGTATTGGTATCGAACTCACTTTTCCGGCCTAGTGTGAAGGGGCAAATCGGTTCAGGAGAGAAATTGGCAAAATACTCTTAATAACTATGAATATGCACATTCTCGCAGAATTTCTAACATCGTTCTAACATAATCTTTTTTTGGGTTCTATATTCAAGAAAGTACTTATACCTTTGGTAATTTAGCTACAACCTCCTCACGTTTTTGAACGGCGGGGCTTTAGAATTTAAAGAGTTACCAAAAACAAAAAAGGGGTATTTTGCCACGGTACAAGTACTTTCTTGAACTGAGAACCCGAATACAGTGCAAAATCGATAAGGTTCAACACCCACAATCTGAAATCAATGAGCTTTAATTCACAGATGCTTCTAGCAATAGCGACCGAAAGCAAGACAACGATGACCCGTCACACAAATCTCGGTGCATCGCTTTAAAGTGGCAAGTAAAAGAAAGAGTGTGAAACTGCTAACTTACTATTTGAAACGTGAAACGATTAAATGGCTCTACTAACATGTTCACATCACATATTATTCAGATTTCAAACGATACATTGAACATATTCTTTCAACTTCAACATATAATCTCACATTTCAAAACCCATTTGAAATATTGGCATACCTCGTCCAGCATCGAAATGCAACTCACTGCTTCTTGACGAGTAATGGTCCAACATTATCACCAGTAGCTTTATTGTGCTTTACATGACTTCCATCGCACAGCGGGAAAGTCCCTGACCTCCAACACCTATCCAACCACAAAACCGAAAACCCTAATTACTCTACTGAGCCTTACACTAACATACAAGCAATCAAGACACGTTTTATCCAGGCGCGCATAAAAACAAATGACGGAGTACGCAAAACGGAAATAGAATAAGGCAGTGAATGAAAAATGACATTGAAATATACCACACACATTCAGCAATCAGCAATATCAGTCATGACAACTAAGACTAGAAATGTTCAAAAACCAATTTCGAGAGTAGCTCGTCTAGTTAAAGAAGCACTAATTGTATCAATCGATAATTACGAAACTAAAATTTCGATAATTTCTTCTCCAAACCACGAAAATTCAAACAATGCTAATTGCTACAGTCTAATTAGCGGTAATCCTACAACAAAACTTCATAATTATACACTTCACATCAAAAGAATCAGTCACCAGAACTACCAAAATTTCCACAACTAACATGATCAAATAAGATAAGATGAGAGAAAATCGGTTAAAGCTGTTTGGACATAAGAACCAAAGACTTTAAATGCTCCGGTTAAAAGATGGGATTACGTGGAAACAGATTCCAGTAAAAGACATAAAGTACTTGAAGTTAGTGGAAGAGTTGACGCTAAATTGAACGTAGTGACAATTCTAAAATTCATATAGCCGACTCACTTAATGGATAAAACTTTATTGTTGTTGTTCCACAATTAACATGATAAAACAATGAAAAATATAGCAAAACAAAATTAGAACTTACCTGCAATAAACAGTGAGGGGCTTAGAGAGCTCAGGGACCAAAACAGTGTCCACAACCTTCTCCTCGCCCTTCCTGATTTCAGGGTTTATATGCTGAGCCTCCGCCCTCACAACCACCACGGCCGGCTTCAGCCTCCTGCTACAACCACCGCCGAAAGAAGAGGATAAAGGGTAGGCCAACCGGGTCCCGAACGTGGTGCTCGATCTCCCGCTGCTCCGGTTCAAACCACCGCACGAAATAAACCCCGCAGTGCTCACAATCGACGCCATTGAAATGGGTTTCAGAGATTTCTAGCCCTTTCGCCCTCGAACGAGTGATGGGTTGGTTAAAGGTGGGATTTTTTGGTTGGTGGTGTGGATGGCACACTCCATTGTCTCGATTTATAGGGTTGGGTGGGTGGTCATTGGGAGAGCCACGTCACTCGAATCTTATCGGTCGTTTTGTAGCTTGGGCCTTTTGGGCTTTGAATCTTTCGCAATGGCAACGGCCCAGTGTTGATAATAGTTTGGTCTTTTGGATATTCTTGTTGAAAAGTGCTTCTAGAAACACACCCTATAAACGTTTTTGAAATATATGATAATTCTCACTCTACTACTCTTAAATATTGTGAAAAGATAATATACAATTAATATATGGAAGATTTCACCCTTAATTTTATTGAGGTTTTTTGTAATAAAACTCAACACCTAATAATAGGTGGTTAAGTTGGAACAATATCAAATATTAGTGGTAGACTGAGATTGGTCTATAAAGTTTCACAAATTTGTGGAAATATTAATGGATAAAGCGATATGGATATCAGTTGTCTTTAATGTAAATGATGGAAATGAAATATTAAGGACTGTCATATGGCAGTTTGTGGATATTTAATTAATATATCAAAAATATCTGCAAAAACAATCGATTTTAATCAAAATTTAAAAATTTCTCCTGTATCTTGTGAAATGTAAACATTACCCTCCTTTTCTATATATTTCAGATTTTTTCACAATTTCTACAAAAATATGAAGCGTATACAAGAAATTTCAAATCATTATGTTGCTTAACCGAAGTTCCTATGCCTTTTTTTTTTTTTTTTTTAATCTCATTATTCAGAACAAAAGAAAAAAAAATAGAAAGTAAAAAAAAACCGAATTATATGTTTTCGGGTGCGCAGTCCCGCCCTCAACGACTAAAAAAATCCCAAATAACAACCAAAAAGTTGGAAAACGAACACACTGGACTTTTAAACCAACTCGTTTCTTCATCCTTTGCAATCTTCAGATAAAAGCCTTCGTCTTCCTTTTCTCTCACGCTTCCAATTCAATTCAATTCAATTCAAATCCTCTCTCTCTCCCTCTGAAAATTTCCAAATCTCCGTTCCAAAAATCTAGAGAGAGAAATAAGAGAGAGAGAGAGAGAGAGATAGATTGGATTGGTGTAGCTTTTCTTCCACATTTGATGGCCAAGAGAAAACGATGCGTGTTTGGATTCTGCTATTGTCTTTTGACGATTTTGATTTGCGCTAGGGTTTCGGTTTCCGCGAGATCTGATAAGGAAATTCGGGAGAGGTTCTACGGCAACATGACGAACTCCTCCGCGCCGGATTCCGGCGACGGCACCATTGCCAAAATGTTCGATCGCGTCCTCGAGAAGGAGTTCTCCGAGAACGACCAGCCCGAAGGTCTAGCTCTTTTGCATTTTTTTGTTAACTTGCATTTTGCATTTTGTAGTTAATTCTTCGTTTATTATCGTAATTGTAGTTAATTAACATTTTTTTGGCTTCAACTTTGTGTAGGATCTGACGGGGCCAGCTTTAACAGCAGTGTGGCCGATCAACAAGTAGGTTTTTGTTACTCTTCTGATTTTTCTTGTACCGAAATGCAATACTTTTCGGTTATTTTTAGGCCAAAACAATTCTGCAGTGTGATTATGCCGAAACAATTCAATTTAGAAACTTTCGATTATTTTTACGCCGAAATAATTCTGCATTGTGATTATGCTTTGCAGGCTGTACTAGAGACTGTGGCGAAAATCACTCACGAGAAGGGCAAGAAAAATGATACACACGTTGGAAAGTATGTGAATGTAAAAATTAAGTCTTTTGATCCTAAGATGGTTGTTCCTTGACAAGATATTGAATTCGTAGTGGAATAAGATCTTGCTATGTTGTTGTAATATCTGCTGCTTTTTCTACTTGTCAGCGGCACAAAACCATTTGATTTTGAAGGTGTTTTTTCCCTGGAGAATGAAGATTCTGAAGAAACAACAACCTTGATTGACAAAAAGGTACTTTGAAAAGCCGTTAGTTGTGAATTTTTTATGTTAATAGCTCTGGCAGGGATTCGTGGGCATAATTATTATTGTTTTTAGCTTTACTTTAACCCTATTAACTTATTTCACTTGTTTAATGGTAGGATAATGTGTTTGTGATGTCAAACAAGAAATCCAAATATCCAGTACTTCAAGTAGATTTAAGGTATCTTTACGTATCCCTTTCCTGATTCTCCCCAAGAACAGTTAATTGCAGTTCCGAGTTTTTATTGTCTTCTTGATGCATATATGACTGATGGGTAACACTTGGTATTTTGGCAGATTAATTTCTGATCTGGTGGTTATCATAGTGTCTGCTGCCATTGGTGGAATTCTGTTTTCTTGTTTGGGACAACCGGTACGTCTTTAAATCTAACTACTCTTTTCATATTTTTTTTCGTCAGCTCTAGCTTAATGTTCCTTTATAGTTCATGATCTATATGATCCAACTTTATAAACTTTTCAGCATAGTGATTCACATGATGCGACTTTTAGGTTATCTGTTCTAATTTATATGCATATGATAGGTTATTGTAGGATACCTGCTTGCCGGTTCTCTCATTGGACCAGGGGGTCTGACGTTCGTCAGTGAAATGGTGCAGGTTTGTTGTTAATTATGATCAGTTAAAAGTTCTTTGTTTTCTGATTTGGAGTTCAAGGTTTCAGTATAGTTTTTTCTCTTCTATGTACTTTGTTCAAATTCTCATTCATGCTCATTTCAATATAAAATGACCTTTATGAAATATTACTTATTAGCAGTATCTATTATTCAGCAACACTATATTAAAGTTGCCCTCTTCCTCCGGTTTAGGAAAGTGGATATTTTTTTCTTAAAAGAAAACCCCTATTTCCTGTAAATTTTTTCAATATGCATTGGAGTATTAACCAAAGGTTTTGAACGTCAAATTTAGTAAAGTTTAGAAAGTCAGAAGTGTAAAAAGATTGCTCCGTATCTAGATTTCTGCAAAATTTAATGCCGTTTATCCATATCAGAATGTCAATTCCTCATTGACAATATAGAAATAAAAGAATAATAGTAGAAAACTAGTATTAGCCACTTGTTTTCTTGAAATCCATGTTTAATTATTTGCTTTTGGTCAACCATGTACCTGAAATCCGAGCATCGGTGTCCGTTTTCTTCTATATATAATCTTGTTTGATTCCTTTTTGTTTTCATTACAGGTTGAAACTGTTGCACAGTTTGGTGTTATATTTCTTCTTTTTGCTCTAGGTTTGGAGTTTTCTTTGGCTAAGGTATGTTAGACTTGGGAAATTTAGGTTTACTGTCTGTTATGCTGTATAATTTATGAAAAAATTTCCTTTTGATATTCTGAGGGAGGGAGAGGATGAAATTTGCCTTTGTTTACGGTAGTCATTTAACCTGTCATTGGTGCAGTTAAAAGCCGTGGGCCCTGTAGCTGTTCTTGGAGGTCTTCTTCAAATCATGACATTTATGTTCCTGTGTGCCATAACTGCTATTGTACGGTGTTCAATCTTGATAACTAAATTTGCATACAAGTAACAAGTTAAATCCTGTCAAAGTGAACAATAGGCTTGCCCTTTTTCTTATTTTTCAGTTATGTGGAGCAAAGTTATCTGAGGGAATTTTTGTTGGTTCCTTCCTGTCAATGTCATCAACAGCAGTGGTAGGTTTTCTATCCTTCAATAATATGACGCCACTTTACTTACTTCGGTTGCTTGTTTCTTAATTTCAACTGCACTTCATTCCTTTCTCATTTCCTTTTACCAGGTGGTGAAATTTCTTGCAGAAAAGAATAGTAGTAGTGCTCTTCATGGTCAAGTAACAATTGGAACACTCATTTTCCAGGTAGGTTTTGAAGTCTGAAAACTTAGGTGGTGGGTTTATTGATAAGTGAAGGGAATTTTGGTAATAACCCTTGTTTCTGATGCATATCCATACGTTCCTTCACCGTGGCTTATTTCAGGATTGTGCTGTTGGTTTACTGTTTGCTTTGCTCCCAGTTTTGGGTGGTCATAGCGGTCTTTTCCAAGGAATGGTATCAGTGGGGAAGCTGTAAGTCTACTTCTGCGGCTTCTATGACATATTTTATTTTTCCTTTTATTCTTTTCTGTTCCGAATTTTTTTTTTTGCTTTGCTGCCATAATGAAAATGAGGGTCATTTTTATCTGGTTTTCAAAAGTAGTTCTTTTTCCAATCCAATTCCAACATCCTAATAAAGAGCTTGTTGTAAATGATTATTGTAATTTGTTGTTACTTCAGGTTGCTGGTGTTGTCACTATATCTTGGTGCTGCCTCAGTATTGTGTTGGTCATTTGTTCCTCGCTTTCTGAAACTGATGATGCATTTGTCCTCTCAAGTAAGTTTTGATGGTGTAGTAGAGTAAGATAGTTAGCTTTTTGTCTTGAGTTTTAATAATTTCATTGGCTCATTTATAATTCTTATGGTGGATCAGACAAATGAGCTTTATCAGCTTGCTGTTGTGGCTTTCTGCTTATTATCTGCTTGGGTAAGTGGAAATTGTTATTATTTTTTTCAAGTTTCTTATTTCAAGGGTAAATACTATTCAAAATGCTAATGGCCTCCAGATTTAGTTTTCCTGCTCCATCTGCTTACTTTTAAGTGCTGTTCTGTTTTTTGCACATTGTAATCAGCATAGTTGATTGTTGGTCCAATGTTGGCTGAGTATTGGCTTCTGAGTTGTTGCTCAACTTGAATTTCCAGAATTTCTGGTTACACAATAACAGTAGTATGGTTCTTATGCAGGGATCTTTCTACATATTTGTAATTCTCAACGCTATTTTAATTCTAGTTCTCTTGTAACCTTTTCAGTGTAGTGATAAGTTGGGCCTTAGCCTTGAGTTGGGTTCATTTCTGGCTGGGGTTATGATATCAACCACTGACCTTGCACAACATACTTTAGACCAGGTACTCTTCTGGATTTCTAATACTTACGTATTGCAGTCATGTTTATTTGTTACTTTCGTTTTTCCCCCTGCTCATACTTAAGAAATAACGGTGGTGGACTCTTTTGGGGCTTCTTTGTGTACGTGTTTGATAAACCTAGTAGCTTTAAAAAAATGTGTGGATTTCACTGTATGATTCATGTTTAATGCTTGTATTTGATGTTCTTGAACATTGCAGGTGGAACCAATTCGTAACCTATTTGCTGCTCTCTTCCTTTCGAGTATTGGAATGCTCATACATGTTCATTTCTTGTGGAGCCACGTCGACATACTGCTAGCATCTGTTATTCTAGTTATAGTTGTAAAGACTGCCGTTGCTACTATTGTTACCAAGGCCTTTGGATATAGCTTTAGGACATCATTTGTGGTAAGCTGATTTATAAGATTCAAGTCATATCTTATTTCTGGCAGATCAAGCTGATTTTGTAATTTCCTAATTTTTAAAACTCACTTCCTTTTTATAGGTTGGAGTCTCACTTGCTCAAATTGGAGAATTTGCTTTTGTTCTCTTAAGTCGAGCCTCGAACCTTAATCTTGTTGAGGTAACTTATCTTTCTTATGGTTCATCATAGTAATCTGGGGATGGACCACATGCATTAGCATTTTAAGTTGAATCGGATAACTTATTGAATTTCTTTACCTGGATTTTGTTTTGAAGCCCAACTGTTATGGTCCTGATTCTTGAACGAAAGAAATCACATCTTGCAGTCAGTTTGAATTCACAAAAAATAGCATCTACATATTTTCCTCGGTTTCATCTTGATTTTCTAATCATCGTCTTTTCAAACTATTTTTCACAGGGGAAAATGTACCTGCTTCTTCTCGGAACAACAGCGCTTAGCCTGGTAATTTTATTTTGATGTTACCTTTTGTGAAGAACAACTCCAATAATTCTCTCGCGCAGTCTCTGTAAAAAACTTACTCGAGTAAATGATATTACAGGTTACAACTCCTCTCATGTTTAAGCTGACTCCTGCCATAATGAATCTAGGAGTTCTTATGCGCTGGTTTCCTTCTGAGGGAACTCCGTACAACGAGGTCTCTCTCCTTCCCCCTCTTCGAAGCACATGCCTCCCATCTCTCTTTTAAAATGCACATCCGCGCAGCGGGATGGATTTACATTCAGTAGTTATAACTGTAAAGTGCATCTGAAAGCTAGCACAGTTCGAGTCTTGGCTTATTTCCTTCTTCCTCCGCTTTTACAGGAGAAAGCTGCGATGATTGACGCACAGCACAACCGAATACTGTGATCTTCCCTGTCTATCAACTATCCGGTTTTGACTCATACCAGGTTACGAATTCAGTTGTGTATGATTTGTGAATATCTTCAAGATGTTCAGTTCCTGCTTCGAGAATTATCGTGTACAGAACATATAATTTTTGTAATTTTTCTGAGGATTTTTGTAAATAGGACTCTTTATGTAGGGCTCCTCTTCAAGTGTGCATGCTAGTCTATTTGGAGAAAAAAGTTGCTGCAAATACTAGAGATTATTAGGAAACTGTATCGTACCCGAAAAATGGACTTCAGAATCATTTTTTTTAAGAAATACTATGATTTTCCTTATGTTATGGAGCAATGTTCCGATTTTCCCTTCAACTTTCAATTTAGTTATGAACCCTCTAATCTCTAAAAACGCGTCAACTTTTCTCATACAATCAAATCTATTAAATTGAAGATTCTTTTGTAAATTCTAGTAGGAAAAGCCAACACAAAATGTAATAGGTTGGCGAATCATATCGAGACATAGGTAATATTCTCAACAAATCTAAATTGCTTAAGGAGGATTCGAACAAAGGTACAGAAGTAGTTTTGCTCCAACTGCTTTAGCCAATGTGACTACGCCGCATTTGCCCCATATACAGGGGACTATGGATACGAGAAACATACAAGTACAATTTTCACGGAACTTTCTCTCGCGGGCCGGGCCGTAACCGGGCCAATGGGCTCCCGAGTCCAATGACAAAGTAAAAGGGCACAAGGCAGGCGTACTTTCTTGGAAAAAGAGAGTGGGAATATCAAGTACGAATCTGTTTTTTTGAGCTCTGTTGGACGACTTCCCCAGTTCCAATTCCAAGTCAGTCTTTTTCTCCTCCCCCTCCCCCTCCTCCTCCTCCGTCGTCTTCTTCCTCTTCTTCTTGTTTTCCCTTCTCTTTTTTTTTTCTGAGACAGACAGAGAGACCGAGGAGTTGAGAGGATGGAGGGTCAGCGGACAGCTCTGTTGAAATGCCAGCGAATTGGCTGCAACGCCATGTTTTCCGACGACGACAATCCCGAAGGTTCCTGTCAATACCACGATTCGGTACTCTCTCTCTCTCTCTCTTACTGTGCTCTGGTTTGGATGTGAGAGAAGCAAAGAAGATTATCGTTTTCCCTTTTTCTTTCGGTTCAATTTGAATAATTACAATATCCCAACAGCTGACTTGAATCTTAAAAGTAATCACCTTGTAATTAGTTTACTCTAATTTCAAACCAAATTGGGTTTAATTGATCCAAATTCTGCACATTGTGTATCTAATTAAGGTGTTCCCTTGCTTGCTTTGTAAACTATGAAGGCTTTTAATTATTGTGCCTTTTAATTCAGTTTAGATGTTAATTCAGTTTGTTTTCTTGCATGTTTGGGGTTGGCTGACTGCATCGGCATCGTCGAACTTTTCAGGGAGTAAGTATTGCCCGTTGATTTAGTTGTTACATCGTGTTTCGTTAGATTTGCATTTAGTTCGATGCCATAAATTAAGCACAATGTGTTTGTTTTTCCCAGCCTATATTTCATGATGGGATTAAAGAGTGGAGTTGTTGCAAGAAAAGAAGTCATGATTTCACCTTATTTTTAGAATTGCCAGGGTAAGCACCGATTTCGCTGGTATTTTTAAGCATGCCATGGCACCCCACAACATAGTTGAATGGTCGCAACGCTGACATTTGAAGCAAATTTTGATTGTTTGTCGAATTCTTGAGTCCTGAATTAATTGCGGATTTTAGATTTTTGTTAGTTTCAGTTAGTTACTTAAGTCTCATTTTCTTTCTTTTCTCTCTTTGTTGAATGCAGATGTAAGGCAGGTAAACACACAACAGAGAAACCAGTGTTGGCGAAGCCGAAGCCTAAGGCTCCTGTTCCTGCTCCTACTGCAGCTCCTGCTACTGATGCATCGTCAAAACAGTCCTGCTCTAGGTGTCGCCAGGGTTTTTTCTGTTCAGAACATGGTACGTTTCATTTGACGCTTGTTGCTTTTAGCATTGGATTACTGTCTATTCTTCATACTTGGTGTAATGTGTCAGGAAGTTGGTTCATTTTTGCATGATAATTGTGTTAAAAACTAAGGGGTTGTTTTGTATTCAATTTGAAAACACAATTTATCGGTTTCAAAAATGAAGAATGTAGCTAAATTACTCAGTACTCATTAGTTTCAAAAACAAAAAATTAGATCCAAGAAGGATACCAAACAGCCCCCAAGTGTTCTGAACATGTTATCTAATCTGTACACGAATGCTAACTATGATACAACTATTAGAGATTGTAATATTGCCTTCTCATTGTGATTGGTGAATTCAATCTCCAAAGCCGTGGTAACGATCCTTAACATTTATAGATATCAGTAATAGGAAATTTAAAAGGGGGATGTTCTTGGCGCTCCAGAAAAGTCATTGGCACTTCTCAAAAGTGTATTTTTGTTTCGAAATATAAAATGTTTGGAGTGCACAATGACTTTTTTGGAGAAATAATGACATATCCCATGTAAGAAAGGTAACTGTAATAGGATTTGATACAAGGTGATTGAAACACAATTTGGGGGAAATAATGAATATTCCACTCGTCTGGTTTTGGGATCGTTTTTTGGTCAGTACCAGTCCTTGGCCTCGAGGAGATGCAAAACACAACAAAGGCCTTGTGTAGTTGGATTTGTTGTGGTTTTAATCTTCTTGAATCAAACTAGCTGTGTATTTTATTCTGCATAAAATACACAATCTTCTCAATGATTGAATAGTTTATCCCTGATTTCTAGCAACTTGTATTGCATTTCGGGAAGCTGAGCGATGTTCCTTTTCCAGGTGCACAAGCCAAAGAACTAAAATCAAAGCCTGTAAATGTGGAAACAACTCCAATTCCAGAAAGCATTACTGACGATCAAGGCACTTCTGCTCCGCCGAAAAAGATTGTTGACATAAACCAGCCCCAGACGTGTATGAATAAGGGGTGTGATCAAACTTTCAAAGAGAAAGATAACCACGAGAATGCATGCAGTTACCATCCCGGGCCTGCTATTTTCCACGACAGAGTGAGAGGGGTGAGTGTACTACTATAATTGTCAATTCAGTCCTATATAAGTATGTATAATTTGAATAACAGTTTTTTCTTTTGGTATTGCAGTGGAAGTGCTGTGACGTTCACGTAAAGGAATTTGATGAGTTTATGAGCATTCCTCCATGCACCAAAGGTTGGCACAATGCTGACCCGGTATCTTAACATCAGATGCAGGGAAGGATGGTTTGTTTTTACCGTCGTTTTTTTGTGAAATTTTCTTTTTGTTATTGAACTGAAAATACATTTCTTGCAACTGTTTTCCAGGAATACTTAGCTTCTCTCTGTATCACCTTTAGAATATGAATTGTCTTGTCCTGTGTTCTTGTTGAATTGAAACAAATTCGTTGTGTGGAAATCGAACTTTTTACGGCTCTACATGTGATCATTTGATTGTCGTTCACTCTGATCATCTCGGATTTGCTTGTTTCACTGTCTTCTCTCGTTCGTTGATGTTTTGGTTTTATCTTCTTCTTGTACAAGTCAAAACTGGTTCGTCACTCAATGCTATTGCTGGGGATCTATATGAGTAGCAGGTTTAACTGTCTGATAACATGTGTTTGTACGCCGTTATTCAGTAAATTAGTGTGTGATAGAAGGCAGATGGATGGTAAATAAGTGAAAAACTGCTGTTGATAACCTTTGCCTCCAAGGTGAATTTGCTCATGTATAGGGACACATGGTCTACCACCCTGTGTTTCGGGCACACTGAAAGATCTCTGGCTTGTTAAAGAGGATTAGCTTAGATAGGACTATTTGCTCAAGTTCGTGCCCTCCAGGGTGGACTCGGATCCTCTCTAGAACCTTATGTGCGGAGCCAGCAGACCAGTTAATCCTAGCCATTCGTAAGAAATCATACTTTATAGGTACAATTCGTGTTGTAGCATCACAATATACGATAACCAACTTCCAAAATCATGCTAAAGTTTGTTTTCTAATCGAGCAATCCTCTCCTCTCCTGTTACTCACACAATGATATACTGCTTCCCCGCCGAAACACCGATTTTTCCTTCACGACATTTTGCCGTCTTCAACAACTTAGAACCCGCTTAATAACCATTTACATATCACGAAACTACAAGCTTTACGCAGAAGGACGAATTCAGTTTAGTCAAATATATCTGATGGTCTGCTCCTTGAGCAAAATCAATGAGCCAGAGAAAATAGTAGATGATATAAACGTATAATTTACCTCATTATCTTGGTGCAAGGAGCTTTGGCCTGTTCACTTTTGTAGCCTTAATTCAATTAGTGGAAGCAATCAATCGTGTATTAGTATTACAAATTCGGAGCTTGGTCTACTCTGAGTTTCACTAATCACGTTTACTAAGAGAGATTAGTGGTTAATCTTAGCAGGCAAAGGCACTTTTTGACTGGGGTTTTGTATTATGCTGTGCATCGGATGCAAGGGAGAGCTGAAAAATGTCAAAGATAATGAGGAGTTAGAGTGGAAAAAGTTCAATAAATTTAAAACAACAGGAGAAACTTACATGCAATTATTAGAGCATTTCCAATAAACGATGCAAATTACCTTGAAATTGACATTTTACATTTTTATAGTTGGCCGGAAGACACTCCAAGAGCGGAATGTAAGATGTTCATTTTTGCCCAAAGATGTAAATAAAAATATAAATTTACATCTTTGGAGGTTGACCCTCCAATCAAAGAGAGAACAATAAATAGAATCTGAAACTTACATCTCTTCGATTGGAGTAGTTACACCTCCTGGGAATGTAAATGTGATGTTTGCATCTCTTCATTGGAAATGTCCTTAGATGTCTTGCTGGCGATATTTTAAACTGATTTATTTGAAATATCGTCATCTTGACGTTCCAGTTGCATGCATGTAAATTTGTACGTGAAATTGTTAAACCTAGATATTGTTCATACCTTACTAAATAAATCTGTTGGTGGCTCCTTTAGGCATCTCTTGTCGATTGCAAACTTCAATTCCTGCATACAACTTAAAGCATGGCCATTAAAATTATTCACATACAAAAAATGAAAAGACAAGAAGGGCAGAGTTAGATTTACCTTATTTTTAAGAGAGCAAGCTACGCACTTATATATCATTTGACCTTTCTCTTGCTTTAAGGCATACACAGAGTTTGGCCTGTGCAAAACTGTAATATCAAAACATTTAATAGCAACAATGATTCTCATTTGCTGACATGTTTACTTACTTAAAACGGGAATTATATTTGTTCCAATTCTTAATTTTCAAGCGTTTACTGTTGAAAGTATTAACCATAAAAGTAAATATCAAGCGTTTTGGAGACCAAGAAAAAAAAAAGAAAAAAAAAAGCGTTTGGGAGACCAGAAAATTCTACAAGTGCAAGGTTACACTATATCGAAATGAAACAAGATGGGATTCAATTGACAAGTAAAGAGGCAGATATAGTTACCCTTTGATCTCTGTAGCTTCATTTTCTGATAAATAACTAGAGTCGGGTCCATTTGTTACCTGAGTGACAATATTATTTCGTCGTAAGAGTTGAGAAAAATTAATAAGTTCAAATTCGAATAATCGGACAGGTTTCAGAAGGTTACCTGGTGATTAAATGTCTGTTGCATAGCTCGCGCTGATGTCCGAAGGCGGAACACCTGATAGAAATCAAATTAAGAACGTTATGAAGCGCATTTGTAACCACTAGTCAAGTCATTTTGCTTTTGGTAAGAGAAAAATTTGGTAGGAGTTGCTAGCCATGTCATGAAACATTATGTATTTTAGTCTCGTCCGACCCATGACAAGGGCAGCTTTGCCGAAGTTTATCTCATTTGCAAAGACACACCAAAGAAATACATTACAACGTTTTATGATTACCTGAAACTCTGTTGCTGGAATTGTGCTCTTTTTCGGGCTAGGCCATGGAGGAGCCCTATGAATCTGCAGATCAAAATATCAACAAAACGAAAGATCATGAAACTGAATAATATTCCAACGTCTTCAAACCGAAACGAACAATTTCAATTTGAGCGTTGAAAGGACTAGCAACTTGCTTTTGATTGTTCTCCTGGTTTGGTGTTAACCTTGTACCTGAAGATCAGTGTTATAAGCTCAGTAGGTAGACCTTCATAGATCAAACAAAATATTTTACTAAAACCACGCAAGAAGTGAATGTACCTACGTCTTCGTGCTCGATTTGCTGTTTCAAGATTTGGTTCTTTCGGAACTGTAACTTTAGGTCTAGCAGCATCAGCTCCGACCTGCAGGACCCCACGAAAAACTATTTTTTTTCTTATTTCGAATGAAGATAAAATGTCCTTTTCACGATCGAAAGCACATCATCCTTTTTCGGTGTTACCTTTTTTGCCGCCTTATGTAACCAGAGAGGTTGATGCTTGAGTTGTTCAGCAACCTGCGTCACAAGTATATCGTGAGCCCCTTGGAAATTCTTGTGAAGGATTCATAAACTATTGAACTTCATGATTAAGTACGCTATTTGGATTGAGTGGAACAAGCTCATAGTCATAAAGATCATATTCACACACGCGATTAAACGAAGATAAAATAAATCGCAGATGCCAAACTATCAAATGAAAAAATGTTCCAAGTGCACCTTGCGTACATAGCCAGCCTCCAACTTCTGCCTTTTCGTAGGTGGCGGAGAATTCTGTGATTTCTCATCAAGTTTCCCGAGCTTTTTCGCGACTCTGTAATCAAGAGTCAGAAAATCGGAGAAGTTAGAAAACTAAAACACCAAACAATTAGAACAAAAGATACATTGATGACAACAGAAACATCATAGAAAAATAATAGCACCTCCTTAATAATCGATTGGAGTGAACCGCTCGGTGGTGATTTTGCTTGGCCAACTGACTCGCCGTGGGTTTCATTAACGTTGAACTCCTTGAGAGATGTGGTGACTTGCCCGGGGACTTCAGTTTAGCTTTTGGAGTGTCTTGAGCCATGTGATTAGAAAACTCTAATTGTGTCGAAACATGAATATAAAACATAACAGTAGGATAAATTCCATGTACTAATTCATGTGAAGCAAAAGGCAAAGCCGATTCAGAAAACAGAAATAAAATTTTCCAAGCGTAGGTGATTTTACAACGAACTATCGCATCGTGTAAAAATTCTAATACGAAATGAGTTGATGATGCAGAAGAAGTTGACGGTAGTAAGAAATGAAAATGTACTTTTGTCATTATCGTCTACCGCTGCAGAGACCTCCGCTTCCAAGCAATTATTCGGGTTACTGCATCTAGTAACTTCAACATCTTTCGATTCCACGAAGGTTTTTACAGGTTCCGGATGATTCTCTTTTTGCCAATTCAACAATTTTTCAAGGAAAGCTAAAGGATTTGAAACAAATTAAACAAAGAAAAAACAAAGTTAGTGGTAACAAATTAATCCAATCAAATTACAATATTTATAATTCAATTAATCTCTAATCTGTTTATATAAAACAACGTAACCTAATTAAAATGCATGAACTAAACATGTAGATGTTGAAATTAATTAGCAGAAAACGATAATTATTAATGTGGTAATCATAGGAGATGATCCAAAATTCATTGTTTTTGGGACATGATAAGAAACCAACAAACAAATGTTCTGGAAATCGCTTACGCGAGGGCTGATAGCCTCCGGCTGACCGGAACCATTCCTCCGCCTCCTCGGCCTCCCAATCGGATTCCGGCCTAGTGAAGTCGTAGAACTTGGGCGCATCGAATTCGTAGTCCATGTCAATTTCATCCCCCTCAAAAGCCTCCCTCGCGAACTCCACCATTTCTTCGTCCATCTCTCTCTCCCCTCCCTCCATCTCTCTCTATCTTAACCAACTTTCAGGCAAATGAACCAGCCAATTCCATGCGTGTTTTAAAAATTATTTCCATTTTTATATCACAGATATTTTTTACTTTTGTTTTGACGAAAAGCTTTCGGAGACTTTCGAAGAAACGATCGGGTTGGAAACTTTCCCGGGAAATCAAAATTCAGAAACAGAGTGAGAGAGAGAGAGAGAGAGAGAGAGAGAGAGAGAGAGAGATTATATATAAATATATATGTATATATATGTACGTATAAGTTTTGATTAAGGTTAATGTGAAACCCTACATGGAAATTTGTGAAGGGAAGAAATGGAAGATTTGAATATTTGTATGGGGCGAGAATTTCGGGTTGGTTTAAGAAGGCAAACTCAGCCAGAAAAGGAAACACGACGAAGACAGAGGACGAAGACTTTTTTTAGCGCCCAAGTTTGGGAGAAACGTCCCCCAAAGCTGCGTTTGTGGGCTCTCACCTTTACATCTTGTATCTAATTTTTTAAATTTTTTTTTCAATCAATAAATTTTTTTATATTAGATATTAAATTAGTTACGGATGGAATTTAAACCTACAATGTATGCAAGGACTCAAAATCTTTCTACCACTGTGCATATAAAATATGTGTGGCTGGATCAATCTGTGCATACAAAACGAGAAGCCTCAATCGTGATTCATGAAATTTCTATAATCAACAAAATCTACCCTTTGATTAACAAAATAGCTTAGAGATTACAAATTAATATAAAGAATATAAAATAGTAAAGAATAGGTAAGATAAAAAATAGTAAAAATTTAATATTTTAACTTCAATTATCAAAGTGAGGTTAAAAAGTGCATACGGTTTATCATTTTCTTAGAGAAAATTAATTAGATAGGATATTTTTGCAACCACCAATAAAATTACAAGGAAAATGCCAGGAATGGACGACACAAAGAAAACAGAAGAGAAAGAGCCCCTCCCAGTCAATCTGCAAGAGAAACTAGGATACCAGAGCTAACAACCAACTCTTAACCAAAACATGTCCCATTCCCATGCTTGGTTTCACAAGTTGGAATCAAGCATTCGACCAATGAGCAAAGTTGGAATCACGCAGGGCGTGAGTTTCATATACACCCCTCTTGGTCCGACCTTGTAACCAAAACGAACATTTTGTATATGTTCAACAATCCAATAATGTTGGCCATTTTTTGGATCCATCTGTCGCGCAAACTCCTTTGGCATGTCATAGAAATAAAGATATGTCAGATTCCGGAGATGTTGGATGCCAGAGGGCACCTCCTTCAGTTGTGGGGATGGTCCAATGTGAAACTCTTGGAGAAGAGGCATGACATCATCGTCTGTGATCAACAAATTTAGTCCCATCATTTCCCTCAGATGTAGCGTCCTAAGTTTCTGAAATCCTCCTTCCTCAAAATGCAGCTGCACACCATCATATGCATTGATACCCAAAGTTAACTCCAACAGATTAGGTAGATTTTGAAGGGCTTTTAGTGGGGAATGTAGAAAATGTTGAAGAAGATATTTTCATTACACTCTTAATTGTCAGTACACAGGGATATATATAGTCACACAGACTCTTTACACAAGTGACCTTATCTTCTACAACTAATTACATAAATACCATAACTAACTATTTACTGTTGTAACTAACTTGTGACTGGTTTAGTTCTCTCAATACACCCCCTCAAGCTGAGCTTGGGAGCAGGTGAAGAACCAAGAGGAAGCTTGGACTTGAGAGCAGTAAAGCGACTTTTGGACAGAGACTTGGTGTGGATGTCAGCAAGCTGATCCTGACTGCAAACAAAGTGAACCTTGATGAGATTAGCTAGGACCAACTCACGAATATAATGATAGTCAATCTCCACATGTTTGGTGCGGGCATGAAAGACCGGATTAGAAGCAAGAGAGATGGCTGAAATGTTATCACACCAGAGAGTGGGAGTCTGTGAAAGAGGAAAACCAAGGTCACGAAAAATTTTACAAATCCAAGTCAGTTCGGCTGCAGTGTGGGCTAGAGATCTGTATTCGGCTTCTGTTGATGACCTTGCCACAGTAGCTTGTTTCTTGGCACTCAAACTGATAAGATTGGATCCCAGAAAGATATTGTAACCACTAGTAGAACGTCGATCAAAGAGACAACCAGCCCAGTCCGCATCGGAGAAGGTTGTGAGATGAGTGGCACCCTTTCTGAACCAGAGACCCTCAGATACTGTACCCTTGAGATAACGAAGAATGCGTTTGGCAGCTTGCATATGTTGGTCTCGAGGAGCATGCATGAACTGACAGATTTGATTCACAGCAAATGAAATATCTGGACGTGTCCATGTCAAATACTGTAAACCACCAACAAAGGATCGATACTCAGTTGGATTGGATAAAAAGGACCACTGTGATCCAATTTGGTAGAACCAAGGGGAGTGCAGCAAGGCTTTGCACCAGTCATATTAGTTTTCCCGAGAAGATCCAGTAAATACTTTGTTTGATGGAGGAAGAGACCTGTGGAAGATCGTTGAATCTCTAATCCCAGGAAGTAGTGCAGTGGACCCAAATCCTTTACTGGAAAGATAGCACTGAGGTTTTGAATGAACAGAGTGCATAAGGAAGAGTCAGGTCCAGTGACTAATATATCATCTACGTACACAAGCACCATGACAGGAGTAGGACCAGGGAGAACAAATAAGGAAGCATCAGAAGACGATTGCTGAAAACCAAGTCGAAGAAGAGCTTGAAACAGTTTGTCAAACCAAGCCCGAGGGGCTTGCTTAAGACCATAAAGGGATTTCCTTAATTTGCAGACATGATGTGGCAGATTAGGATCAGAGAAACCCGGAGGTTGCTGCATGTACACATCTTCCTTCAAATCACCATGAAGAAAGGCATTACTGATGTCCAATTGATTTAAAAACCAATTGAACTGCACAGCAAGGGACAAAATGATTCTAATCGTGACTGGTTTAGCCACAGGACTAAAGGTCTCTTGAAAATCGATACCTTCCTGCTGATGATATCCCTTTGCAACCAAACGAGCTTTAAAACGCTCAACAGTACCATCAGGATTCTTCTTGATGCGGAACACCCACTTGCAGCCAACAACATTGTAGGAGGATGAGGGAGGAACAAGGGTCCAAGTGCCTGTGGATTGTAATGCATTAAACTCATCTTGCATGGCAGATCTCCAATGAGCATGCTTAGAGGCTTGTAGATATGTAGTCGGAATATAGTCAAGATCAGATGGAAGAGGATGTTTGGTAGCTGCATATACCTTGGGTTTGAAGATACCAGCTTTGGAGCGAGTGATCATAGGGTGAGTATTGGGTGGGGGCAGTGATGTAGTTGGTGCAGGGGAAGAGACGGATGCAGTAGACAGAGAATCTGTACGTGAAGCAGCAGTAGGAGGAATGGACCCTTGAGGATGGACATTGTGGGGACTTGAAGGCAAACACTCAGAGGTAGAGTGCAAATCTGGACCCAAAGAGCCAGGAGAGGCACCAGGACGCTGAGGAACCGAGAACTGTAGATCCATAGGGGCGGAAACAGAGGCTGAAGACATAACAGGGATGGTAGGAGAAGACTTAAAAGGATATGTGGCTTCATCAAACTGCACATGTCTAGAAATGTAGAGACGATTAGTGACTGGATCAAGGCATCGATAACCCTTGTGCTGTAAACTGTACCCCAGAAAAACACAGCTTTTGCTTTTTGCTTCTAACTTGGAATGAGTATAAGGTTTGAGCCACGGGAAACATCGACAGCCAAATACTTTCAGTCTGGAGTAATCTGGTGGCTTGAAGAATAGTAATTCCCAAGGAGAGGTAGAGAGGCCAGAGATGGGCAACCTGTTAATAAGATACACAGCTGTGGAAAAGGCTTCCACCCAATAGAGATGTGGAACATTAGAAGCAACAAGTAATGTACGAACAGTCTCCACAATATGGCGGTGCTTTCTCTCAGCACAGCCATTTTGTTCAGGAGTGTGAGGACAGGTAAATCGATGAAGAATACCATGAGTGCGAAGGAAAGATTCAAATTTAGCACCAATGAATTCACCCCCTGAATCAGAATGCACAACCGTGATTTTATTGCCAAGTAGATTTTCTACATATTGTTTGAATACAACAAAAGTAGAATAAGCATCAGATTTTGCCTTTAATGGAAACAACCAACTATATCTACTGTAATCATCTACAAGCAACAAGTAGTACTTAAAGCCACTAGGAGAAGTGATGGAGGCAGGACCCCAAATATCACAGTGTAGTAGTTGAAGACTGTGAGTACTTGTAGAACTGGCAGATGCAAAAGGAAGCTTGTGACTTTTAGCCAAAGCACAATCTGAGCAGAAAAGATCACCAGTAGGTTTGCCGTGCACGACAAGCTTATTTCCTGAAAGAACCTTTCGAAAAATGGAAGAAGATGGATGACCAAATCTTCGATGCCAAGTCTGTACAGGAGCTTTGACACTTATTAAAGCCGAGGGTGATGAAGAGATGAGATGACCAGAGCCTTGAAGAGGATAGAAGCCATCTTTAACTTGTCCCCGCAAAAGCGTCTTCCCCGAAACTCGATCCTTTACAGTGGATCCATCAGGGTCAAGAGTCAAGACACAATTATTATCTTTTAAAAATTGATATGCAGATAATAAGTTGTGTTTCATAGCAGGTACATGTAAGACATTACTCAACTTAAAAGAAGTATGAGATGTATCTAAAGAAGAGGTACCAATATTGTGAATAGGCAGACCTTTACCATCTCCTATATAGACCTTGTCTTCACCAATGTAAGGAGAGGCAACAGAGAGATTTGCAATGTCATTTGTGATATGGGAGGTGGCTCCAGAATCCAATAGCCAAGATGAGGATGGTTTGGAGGAGTAGTGAGCACAAAGAGCTGCAAGTTTGGCTGGTGGCACTCGTCCAAAGATCTCAGGATTCATCCTGTCAAAACAATCAATTGCTTCATGGCTAGTAGAACCACATATTTGACAGGTGGTCTTGTGACTGGATGAAGAGCCTTGGGTGTGAGATCGGGAGCCTGGATGAAAAGCACGAGGCTGACTTGGACGAAAAAGACCAGTGGAGTTGCCACGGGAATTATTGAAATTGCGATTTCCTCTGAAATTGCGATTGGTCCGGCCTCTGTTAGAATTGTAACGAGAAGCAGATTGAAGAGGCTGACTATATGCAGCGAAGGCCTGTGAAGAAGGCGTTGGGAACAAAGGTGCTTGAGACTGAACAGAAAATGCTTGAAAAGCCTCAGTAGTAGGAGTGGACAGAGTGTTCTTACGACGAGCCATGGAAAGCTCTTTAGTCAGCAACAGACCATGTAATTCATCAAGAGAAGTTGAAGACAACCGCAGCATGATGGAGTCAATAAATGACTCGAATTCATCAGGAAGACCGTGAAGTGTTGCAGCAATGAGATCACGATCAGAAACAGTTGCGCCAGCAGCATTGAGAGAATCTGAAATTTCCTTGAGTTGCTGTAGATATTCCGAGATCGATTGAGAGCCTTTTTGAATTGATTGAAGACGAGAACGAAGCTGGTGAATATGAGCTTCAGAGACTCCACCAAAACATTGTTCAAGCTTCTGCCAAAGCTCTCGAGATGTGGACACCCCTACCGTGAATGGAATGAGATCTTCAGATAGAGTCGAGTTGAGCCAAATCAAGAGGTTTTGATCTTTTTCAAACCACTGCTCAAAAGCCAGATTCAAGGAGCGATCAGGGAGAAGAGGATCCGGACATGGCTCAGTGCCGTCAACGAGGCCAATAAGTTTGTACCGGCGCAAAATCGGAGCAAACAGTGCGCGCCATGGAAGGTAATTGGTGCGTTTGAGTTTGATTGGCACCATGCTACCAATGTTTTGGATCGTAAGAGACATATACGAGTTCTGAGGTTGAGGATTTCCAGAGGGATTAGGGTTTGGTAGTGACGATGAGATCGGCGGAGACGAAGAGCCAGATGGGGAGGCCATGATAGACAAGCTCAAAATGCGAGAGAGGAGGAAGAATCAAAGACAGAAAGCACAAGATCGATCACGAAATCGATCAAGAAATCGATCAAGAAACAGAGAAAACGATCGAGAAATCACCGACTCAAATATATCACCGACGCAAATTGAAAGAAATTGCTGATGAAAAACTACCAAGACAGATCAAGAACAGTGATCAGAAGACCAAATCAACGAAGAAAGTTGATCAATCTGAACAGAAATCAGAGGAGGAGTAGAGCGGAAGAAAGGAGGATCGAATGCCGGAAGGCGAATGGCGATGAAACCATGTAGAAAATGTTGAAGAAGATATTTTCATTACACTCTTAATTGTCAGTACACAGGGATATATATAGTCACACAGACTCTTTACACAAGTGACCTTATCTTCTACAACTAATTACATAAATACCACAACTAACTATTTACTGTTGTAACTAACTTGTGACTGGTTTAGTTCTCTCAATAGGGAATCTCTCAACCTTGACCAAAAAATGCCTATCCTGACGAGGTGTTGAAGATTTGAAATCCAACCTGGCAACTGCTCTAAACGCCCTATCAAGAAGAGAGCACGAATAAATTGTGGTGGAGTTGAAATGGATTCTAGATCAAGGACTTCATCTTCATTTATTGCAGTTAAAATTAGAGATTCAAGGTGGTTCATCTTTTCAATAGAAGCACACACAGCCCTTCCATCTTCACTTTTCAAGTTTTTTAGGCCTAACTTCCGCAGCTGTCTTAACTTTCCCAGTTCTTTGATTATCCTGATCCCTCCATGATTCACCTCCACATGGGACAATTTTTGCAAAGCTTGTAAGCATCCAATACCTTCATGTATCTTCACTCCTTTTTCCATATTCAAGAACAAACCCAAGTCGTAGTTGTAGTCAAGATGGTAGGCCAAAAGATGCCGCAACTTAACAAGCTTGTTGATCTTGGCTGGTATTTCATACACCAGAGACTGTTTTAGATCCAGGGTTTCCAAGTTTTGTAGATTGCCTATGGAGTCTGGAAGCAACTTCACCTTTGTATTCCTCAGGCTTAAGTACGTCAAGAGATATAAATCCCCCACATATTTAGGAAGTTGATTGATTGGAGCAGCCGTGAAATCCAATACTTTCAGAAGTTTAAAGTTTCCACTCAATGTATCGAGAAAAGACTCGGGCCATTCTTCTAGGTTGAAAGTAAATACAGAACGAATATGAAATTGTGTAATGCTTTCCAAGGCCTCAGAGGGATTGATGTCCATTGAGAGACGTCGAGTTGTTGGTTTAAAAGTCAACTTGCCTTTTGATAAACACATGACAGAAGCTGGAATCCAACCCCTTTTTAAGGAGGACGTCGTGCAATAGATCATGAACTCTACAACCTCGAGCTTTTCCATCAATGTAAACTTCTGAAACTTGAACCAGGCTTCTGTGAATTAGCTCCATCAAGTATTCCTCTCCAACCTCTTCTAGTGTCTTGCCCATCTTCGGTTTCACAAAGCCTTCAGCGATCCACAACCGAACTAATCTTATGCAACTAACTGAGTAATCCTCAGGAAAGATGCCAAAGTATAATACACAAGATTTGAGGTAATACGGTAGATGGTGATAGCTGAGGGATAGGATTCTTGTGAGGCTTGTAAGGTGGGGATTGCTTTCTAACTCTGAACTTAAGCTATTGTATAACTTCTGCCATTCAGACACAACTTTAGCTTTGGTTGACAGCAGACCACCTACGGAAACAATTGCCAAAGGTAGTCCTTCGCATCTTTTGACGATGTTAAGAGACAACTCTTCCAACTCTTCAGGACACTTTCCCTCCAATTCAAACTGAAATGCCTTCCTACAAAACAATTTCCATGCCTTGTTTGGAGGCAGATGCTGCAAGTGATGAACATGAACAAAACAAGATCTTTTGCAAAAGTTGGCAACATCTTGAATCCGTGTAGTGATAATTATTCGTCCGCCTTCATTATCGGGTAAAGCATGTTCTATTGCCCCCCAAAAATCTACTTTCCACACATCATCAAACACAACAATGTACCTCTTTTGCTGCAAATACTCTCTCGATGTGCTAATCAGGGACTCCTCATCCATTGTGTCAATTTCCTCTGGGAAACGCTCCTTCCTTGAACTGTAGAACTTTTTGATTACCGTCCTCAGAAGATCCTCAACCCTGTACGACTGGGACACTGTAATCCAAGCATAGCAATCAAAGTGTGCCATCACCTTCGGCTGGTCATACACTTTCTTGGCAAGAGTGGTTTTCCCAAGTCCTCCCATGCCAACCACTGATATCACTTCACGTCTCGTCGCTCCTTCTACCAACAAACGAGTTAGCTCATCTCTGGCAGATTCAATCCCCACAATTTCAGCTTCCTTAATGAAAAGGGAAGCCACTCGAGGGTCGTTCGACAGTAGAGTCTTTTCTCCACTGCTCTGGCCTTGCTGATCAATGGATTTGAATCCATATCTTTCACTTCTCTCCTTGATTTCACGAACCAATTTTTTTATACTGTCAACTTTCGAAACTATCCCATCCTTTGATCTCATTTTTTTAGCCAACCGGATAATTTTGTGGAAAAAAACGAAGGAATCCATGGTGTGTTGATGATGCCATAAGATGCGGAGCAAATATTCATCAATGACATCTTCAATGTAAAAAGCTGCTTCTCTTACTTGATTGACCCAAGTTTTGACACCGTCATTCCCCGTCTCTCCATCTGCTGCTGCAGCCATAGCATCTGCTTCCTTGAGGAATGATCGGATGCTTTCGAGTTCATCTTTGATGAAACCAACTTCAGTACGTGCATTTCTCGAAAGGTTTGCTTCTGTGGCGATGAGTAGTTGAATTAACTTGTCGATCACAAAGCATACAATCTGTTCTGCCATTTTGTATCCTGCCCTTTTCTGGCAGACAAAGCATCTATAATTGATGAATATGTGCTCAATTATATGAAATTTTGAACATTTTAGAATTCTGTGTGCAGTATTTCTGGTTAGGTTGCAGACGGAAGAGGATCCTCTCCGGATCCACTTTGTAGGAATTTTAGAAATTCTCATATCCTAGCTATTCATCGTACATCATGCCGGTAATTTTCATCAGGTACTATTTATGTTTAATTTTAAATAAAAATCAAATAATTTTTTACCAAACGATGCACGATGAATAGTTAAGATGTGAGAACCTCTAACATTTCCACATTTTGAATCCGGATGGGATCCGAATCCGTTGCAGACGACTTTCTAGATTGTAAGGTGAATTAAAATATGAAGGTGATGTGATAAGGCAGCAATTGGCTCATATTGAATTATGATGTGATAAGGCAACGATTGGCTCATATTGAATTGGAGGCAGATTCTCTGCCCTCCCACTTTCAGTGTCCTTCCGTACCCTTCTGTTTTGTGTAGTTACGGTTAAGCTATGTTAACATTTTATATTATTTTTTATAAAGATAATAAGACAAAAAAGAATAGTAATATAAAATATTGACGTGGCTTAACCGTGACCACACAAACAGGAGGGCATAAGAAGTGGGAGGGCAGAGAATCTACCTCCTATTGAATTAGGTAATCCATAAGGAATCCATCAAATCAGAAAATTCGTGTCGTTGAAATTTGATTTAACGGTTACAAACAGATAGCCAATTTAAAAGTTATAATAATTTTAATGATTTGATCAAATTTCAACTGTACGAATTTCCTTATTTGATGGATTCGGAGGAAGAGATTCGGATTCCTATCCAATCCATTATATCATATTGCAGACTTTTTCTGATTCAATTTTCAATAATTCAAGAACTGCTGGTATATTATGGAAATGGATCCAGAGAGAATCAATGTCAGTATATATTATGTCCTGAACTTGGAATAATGTATAAGGAGAAATTTTTTAATGTGACTAAAATACGGAACTGAGCATCACATGCCTTTTATACAAGGCACACCAAAAAGTGAGACCAAACCAACCATTCCACCAGCTGGCAGATGGGATTGACTAGTAATTGCATGCTTAATGGTTTGCCTTACCAAAGCCAACAAGGTTTCCTGTGGCTTTGCATCAATAGTAATACCTATCCAAACTCTCTTTTAAAAAAAAAAAAAAACAAGAGCAGTATGATATTTTCATTCATTTATAGAAGAGTATTATAAATATATATCATGAAGAATTTGGCTTCAAAAGGGTCTTTATAAACTAGATCTAAAAATATTACAATAAGCATCACTACTTGCAAAGCAACAAGTAAACTTCAACCATTCATCTGAGCTCATTGGGAATCACATGATTACACAGATAAAATGGGAAACTTCATGTTACAAGATGATCATGTGAGAACAAAATCTCAAACCATAAATTGTGATTGAGAGTACGATGCTTATAGGTCTATCGCATCGCTTAATCACCACCATGATTCCAAAGCAACAAATTAATGAAGTAGATCCTACAAATAAAAAATCTCCATCCTTCATACATAGATTCAGAAGAGGCAGCACAACCAAACGAAAATTAAAACAAGCACTCTCCTATAAACAAACAACCACCATTTTATACTTGGTAAGCCTGCCGTCATTCGTCAAACCTTTCAAATTTTCAATTCAAAATTATCATATTTTTTAATAGAAGAAGGCCTTCAACACATGTGGTCATATCTCTATTAAGAGAGAAATTTCAATGTGTTCAAAATACGGACGGCACCTCATGTTATTGTACAAAATGTTGAGAAGTTTTATTTTTCAAATGTTTATCTACTTGTATAATTACATATGACGTAGGTGTCCGTGTTTCAAACGCTAAAAAATTTCTCTCTATTGTAGACGTGGTACAAATGTGATATGAAATGTAACAAGAGTATCATTTTGATTAAAATTACATCTTTACCCCCAGAAAGATTACATCTCTGCAATCACCTAAAGTTCAATGAAATTTTATTATGACATTTGAGCATTTTGTGTTTCAGACGCTAAAAACTTGATTCATTCACCTAAAGTTCAATGAAAGATTACATCTCTGCAATATAGTCAGCCGAGCTGGAAAATTGCTATGTTGTAGCAATAGCAGTCGTTGAGGTCAACAAGTGAGGCCACACCAACCATTGCACCAGCTGGGTATTACAACTAAACAAACAACCGCCATTTTATATTTGGTACGCCTGCCATCGTTCATGAAGTTGTTTAGAGATTTTTTTAGTGTATTTGAAACACAGAATAGTATCAAATATTATTTTGAGCACATTAAAAATTTTCTTAATTTTTCTAATAGAAGTAAGATCCACACACATTTGCATCATAACGGTTACAAATACAGTAAGAAAAATATGATAAGAAAAGACTTTGATTCAAAATTACATCTTTACCCCAAAAAGAATGAAATTTCGTTCTTTTTGTTATTATACGAGGATGGTGTTTGTACGCCAACAAAAGATGCAAAATGGCTTCCCTCGCAGGGCTCTCGAATCTCACTCAATCCCTCCACTTGTATAATGACATATGACGTAGGTGTCCATATTTCAAATACTAAAAATTTTCTCTCTATAGTTGATGTGGTAAAAATGTGATGTGAAATGTGACAAGAGTAGCATTTTGATGAAAATTACATCTTTACCCCCAAAAAGAATGAAATTTCTTTCTTCTTGTTATTATTCAATAGCCCAGCTAGCGCCACACCTCAATGGATGCCTGCCTCTTCTGTGATGAAAAATGGTAAGATTTAGTTTACTAAATCATGTTCTTCAGTCTTATTACTCTTGATAATGAATCCTACATTGATCGAATGAGAGATATTACATGTACTTATAAGCAATTGGGTTACTCCCCATAGTACCAATTGATTTTACGATGGAACCCAACTTTTTCATGGTATCAGAGCAAGTTGTCTCATGCGTGAAACTCAACGGCCACACGTGCTCTTCGTCATCCCGTTTGTGTTGTCTACGTGTTCGGATTGAAAATTCGCTACACGTGAGGGGGCATATTGAGAATGAATTCCATTGATGGAGGGCGAGATCTTGCATAGTTGGACTACTCCCTATGATGTCAATTGGTTTTATGATGAAACCTCAACTTTCTTCAATTACTTTTCTCAATTAGTTGAATTGTTGATTTAGGGACAAAACTCACCAGAAAAAAAAAATGAAGGAATTCTTCATTTTTACAACAAAGATTTGAGGTAAATAGTTGCCATTTATCTTTGTAAAAACTTGATTCATTCACCTAAAGTTCAATGAAAATTTATTATGGTATTTGAGCATTATGAGTTGCACGATACCTATTTATTTTTAATTTTTATAAACAAACAGTTTTATTGCAACCACCAATAAAATTATAAGGAAAATACTAGGAAGGCCACTCGACTGGAAGACACAAAAAAAACAGAAGAGAAAGAGTCACTCCCAGTCAACCTCTAACCAAAAACTGTACAAAAAGAGACCATCCCATTCCCATGCTTGGTTTCACAAGCTGGAATCAAGCATTCTCCCAAAAAGAAAAGTTGGAATCACGTAGGGCGTGAGTTTCATATTCACACCATCTTGGTCCGAACTTGTAACTAAAGCGGACATCTTGTGTATGTTCAACAATCCAATGTTGCAGTCCATTATTTGGATCCATATGTCGTTCAAACTCCTTTGGCATCTCAAAGAAAACAAGATATCTCAGCTTTCGGAGATGGTGGATGCCAGAGGGCACCTCCTTCAGTTGTGGGGAAGGTCCAATGTGAAACTCTTGGAGAAGAGGCATAACCCCATTGTCTATGATCAATGAATTTAGTCCCTCCATGTCCCTGAGTTCCAGATGCCTCAGCTTCTGAAATCCTCCTTCCTCAAAATGCAGCTGCACACCATCATATGCATTGATTTTCAAAACTAGCTCCAACAGATTAGGTAGATTTTGAAGGGCTTTTAATGGGGAATCTCTCAACCTTGACCAAAAAATCGTTATCCTGACGAGGTGTTGGAGATTTGAAATCCAACTTGGCAACTGCTCTAAACGCCCTATCAAGCAGAGAGCACAAAGAAATTCTGGTGGAGTTGAAATGGATTCTAGATCAAGGACTTCATCTCCATTTAGTGCAGTTAAAAGTAGAGATTCAAGGTGGTTCAGCTTTTCAATACAAGCACGTAGAGCCCTTCCATCTTCACTTTTCCAATTTTTTAGGCCTAACTTCCGCAGCTGCCTTAACTTTCCCAGTTCTTTGATCAGATTGTTCCCTCCATGATTCGCCTCCACATAGGACAGTTTTTGCAAAGCTTGTAAGCATCCAATACCTTCATGTATCTTCACTCCTCTTTCCATATTCAAGAACATATCCATGTTGTAGTTGTAGTCACGATAGTAGGCCAAAAGATGCCGCAGCTTAACAAGCTTATTGATCTTGGCTGGTATTTCATACACCAAAGACTGTTTTAGATCCAGAGTTTCTAAGTTTTGCAGATTGCCTATGGAGTCTGGAAGCAACTTCACCTTTGTATTCCTCAGGCTTAAGTATGTCAAGAGATACAAATCCCCCACATATTTCGGAAGTTGATTGATTGGAGCATCCGTGACATCCAATACTTTCAGAAGTTTAAAGTTTCCACTCAATGTATTGAGAAAAGACTCGGGCCATTCTTCTTGGTTGAAAGTAAATACAGAACGAATGTGGGATTGTGTAATGCTTCCCAGGGCCTCAAAGGGACTGATGTCCATTGAGAGACGTCGAGTTGTTGGTTTAAAAGTTGACTCGTCTTTTGATAACACATGACAGAAGCTCGAATCCACACCCTTTTTAAGGAGGACTTCGTGCAAAAGATCATGAACTCTACAAGCTCGAGCTTTTCCATCAGTGTAAACTTCTGACACTTGGACTAGGCTTCGGTGAATTAGCTCCATCAAGTATTCCTCTCCAACCTCTTCTA